ATTTATTATATTTCAAACCACTTCTTCTTTCAACAATTGGGCCATACTCATCAGGCCACAACTCCGATTGACTCTGAACTTCTTGAATCAATGGTTGAACTATGTGCAATAGGCCAACTTAAGTGCATTATTCTCCCCTGCTAGGAAAAGATTCACCCTCAAATCTTCTTTATCTCCATTGATATCAATCTATATAGGTAAAAACTCAATGGAGCATTATTTTTCTATTAGATATTCGACATCATATTATCCATCAGATTTATCACACACTAGATTATTATCATAAACTTAATTTTGTTCATAAGACGAATAATCATCATAAATGAGATAATCATCATAAACTGTGTGTTATGATGGCAGACATTAAAGTTAGGAATGTTGATTTGCATCCCAATATCTTGAAAAGTGAACTGAATTTCAGGTCATACTTCCCAATTTTGTCCCTAGTTTAGAATCCCCAAGGGATTGTCGTCCTCTTCTTCGTCACCAGATGCGTCCTCTAATTCTATTCTTTCTTTAGATTGAATGCACAACTTTGTCCATGCAAGTCGCCGCTCCAAATGTTGGATTTTCATACTCAGCGCCTCCATAAGTTGTCGCTTAAAATTTTGGATTTTCTTGGTATGGGACCTCACGAGTTGTCGCTCCAAATCTTTAATTTTCTTGCTCTGCACCCGCACAAATAGTTGCTCCATAAATTAGATTTTCATACTCTCCGTATCCACAAGTTGTCGCTTTAAATTCTGGATTCTTCTTTGAGCTCTTCATTTTCTATGTGACGCCAATCTATCTGACGCGGTTGTCTGTCTTCTTTAGGAACGATCCACGTCCTTTGCCTTCACGACTCCACCATCGATGGCCTCTACAATTCTGTTTAGCCATTGGTTGAAGGCAACCTAGTGCTGTAATATTCCAAATATATAACCATATTTTAATAAAGCATTTGCTTTTATTTTACTATAAGAAATAATAATAATAAATAAAATAATTTAATATTCAAATAATTAAACAATGATAATTTAATAAATAATAATTAAGAAGAAAAAAAATAAAAAAAATACATATTAAGCAAAATGACATTTTTAGCTAGTGACACTGATCCAACACTAATGGGTCAGTAAACTAAATAGTGGGGGACGCCCTACTCTGACTTAGAGCTCGGTCACGTATTAGTCACAACCAGCGCCCTCTTTAGCTTGGGTAAATAGTAAAGAACTACAGAGATTTACTTTGATTTATCTATTTATCTGATTATACATTTATTTAATATTAATTGTTTTTTAGAAATATTGCAATCGGTTCATCGCTTCGTAACTAGTCCGATTTGGGCGGGTCTAGGACAAAGGCTTTAAACCCCTTCCAAAGGTATGTTCATTTTAATTAAGGGGTATTTTCCATATACTTTTACGGTTGAAAATGTTATAGTTCGAAAATACTCAAGATTACTGGGAATATTTTTCACATGTATATTTTAATTGTTATCTAACTTATCCAGATTAGTACGTAATGGATTGGATGTATCTCTGTGTAACATGATGTGAAATGCTTATCTTGATATATGAAGACCATACCCAGACCTGCCTCTACTCGTTTACTTAGCTATGTAACTGAAGACCTTTTTTTGTAGTTTTTCTACATTTTCCATCCTTTTGAACATAGATATTGATGTAGGAGTATTTTGGGCCCGCGAGCCGCTAAGTTTAATTGTAGTTTTGTTGGACTACCTATATGAGATATCCTAGTGGACTGCAATTCTTTATGAATATAAACTATGATGTGAAGGAATTAATTATTAGACTATTTTATTTTATTGGTCTATAAACAAATGGAAGATGTTAGAAATGCTCTGATACCAAATGATGCCAAAAGTGCATAGAAAATGTGGTTAAACAGAAAGTTAAGATTGATAAAAGAGTAACCATTCGATTCTCAATTTCTATTAACAAAATAAAAAAATATTCAACTCCTAGAATAAGGGTCATAAGCACCCTTTTATAGACTAATTACAAATTGATTCAAAAATCTAAAATCTAAAATCCAAAAAATAAGGAAAATTCCTAACATGAATACAACGGTAACAAACTTCCAAAAATAAATAAATAATTATAATTAAATCATTTACAATACATCCCAAATCTTAAATATCAAATCATGCCAAATGTGTTGCTTTTCTTTTCTTACCAAACAAATCATAATCATATCTATTGCTTTATTGGGACTTAGATTTAATCATAATTTGTTATATTTCAAATCATTGTTTCTTTCAACAATTGGGCCACAACTCTGGTTGACTCTAAACTTCTTAAATCAATGGTTGAGCCATGTGCAATAGGCCAACTGTAAGTGCATCGTTAATCCCTAAATTTGATGTGTTTAAATTTGCAAGGATTCTAAAATTTGTGTCTATTAATTATTGTTACTGTCAATTTTCAGTTAATAATTATATTTTTATAATTTTAATAATAATTTAATTATTATTAGTGATGAACTAAAAAATATGTGTTAAGAGATAGATTTACGGTTAAACTGTTGATTTTTGTGTGCCACGTTTCAACATCAGATGAATCACACCTAAGAAAGGCATGAATGCCACATGGGTTACGCACAATTTAGACGTGAATGAGTGCAATAGATCCATAAATTAATTCAAAACAACTATATTTTTATCATTAGTTATTAAAATAATAATATTTTAATTTTTTTTGCCTAACATCATTATGTGGCACGATCTCGTTAGCTACGCATGAGAGATGTGCACAACTCACTTGGTTGCGTAAAGTTGCAATTGCTTACTCCTTTTGTGCGCAACTTTTGATTTAATGGAATATGTTATTCTACCTACTCTTATTCTGCCTACCTTTGCATACCCTTTCAACACTGTTAGATTACAATCTCATCCAACGATGGATATCTATGGAATAAAATAAACATTTTTTATTCTTTCTCTCTCCTCACTTCCTCCCACACCCTTTCTCTCTCCTCCCCTTTCTCTCTATACCAAGACATACCATTGATTCATTAGCTAAAAGATCTTAGCTAAAAGTATATGTACATTGATTTATTATTCCCTTAAATATGACTAATAATTACAATCCTATCACAGGTTAAGATAAAAGAATGGCGTAGGCTTCGATGATCAACTTACAACATCTCGTAAGTCGATTTTATATATTCACTATTTAATTGCAAATAATTCAGCCATCGCAGTAGACGCGATACCCAAATAACCACAACAACTTATTAATTCCCTGAATCTGTCCGCCAAAAAAGCATTAGAGTATTTTTCTAGTTTCCTCCCACATACTCGATCAAAGAAAAAATGAAAAATACATATCATTGATGACTATCATTTGAAAAAAAGCAAACTGTTTCCCCTTCCCATATTCGTAGACATTCATTTTCAAATAAAAAACAAATATCTTAATACTATGCAAATAGATGTCCCTGATCTGATCCTGATTTCCATGAATTTTACAAGGATCGCATTGAAAGATTTTTCATCAGGCTGATTTTTCAAAGCTATCCCTAATTGGATAATTTTATTTTTCTCTTATAATATAAATCACAAGCATAGAGATAGAGTTGTGGACAGTGAGGAGGAAGTGATTTTTTTCGAATGATGATCGTCGATAATATGTGTTTTTTGTTCTTTCTTTAATCGAGTATGTGTTTTTCATTTTGGAGGAGGTGATTTTCATTCCCAAAATTATCTGGTCGTCGATATAGAGAAAGGGGAGGAGAGAGAAAGAGTTTGGGAGGAAGTGAGAAGAAATAAAGAAGAAAAAATGTTTATTATCAAAAAAAAAAAAAAAGAAGAAATGTTTATTTTATTCCATAGATATCCACCGTTGGATGAGATTGTAATCTAACAATGTTGAAAGGGTTAGGCAAAGGTAGGCAGAATAAGAGTAGGTAGAATAACCTATCCCAAATTATAATAGGGAAAAATATTTCTGCAGTTACTGCAGATAAGTTATCTGCATTTATTTCAAAAACGACGTCGTTTTGGTATTGAAATCTTAAAAACATATAAACATAAAGATTATTATAACCCTGAAATAAATTAAAATTATAAAAATACCATGATTTTCATCTCAAAACGACGCCGTATTGGGCTTACTTCAGATAACTTATTTGCAATAACTGCAGAAAAAGCGAACCCATTATAATATCTTAATTTTTTTTTTCCAAATTTATATTACTCTAATCATTTTGCGGAGTAATATTTATTTTTAACTTTATATAGTTTAATTTGAGGATGATATAAAATTAAATAAAATACATGACTTCTTGTTTACCAAAAAAGAATAAAAAATACATGACTTCTAAAATAAACAAAATATTTTACAATGATATGAAATTTATCAAGTTATTATTTTCATTTATTATCTATATACTCTTATTCGATATAAAAGCTCGTGTTTAGACAAGAGCATTAAAAGTTTGAGTAAGTTATATTAGATTATGTGTTTAATTCTCACTTATATCAAAAAAAAAAAAAAAAACAAGAGCATTAAAATACACCTATTAACATAAAAGAAAATCTTTTTCTTATGATGTTCAAAATAAGTTACCTTATATTACCGAAACAAAATTTTAAGTGAGATTCATAAATAATTGAAGAGAAAAAAAAAAAACAGAGGTGAGAACCTATGTTATAAAACCCTAGAATGATTAATTTTAAAATAAAAAGGTATTATTATCAGATTAAAAAAAGAAGAAAAAAAAGGAGGAAAATATATCGAGAGAATAAGGTGAGGACGGAGGATGGTTCCACAGTTGGACCACTGGGCTGCATTGTATCTGAGACCTGCGTGGTAGATCCGCACCGATGCTGTTTCTTTAAATTTAAAAATATAAAAAACACTAACTCTAAGCCTGAGCGAGACCCTTTCTAAAATCAAGATACGAAAAATCGTGTTAGGTCGGTCAGGTACGAAATTCTCGAATTCTGATTCTTATCTCATGGTTACAACATCAACATGCCCACCTGGATTTCAACGTTATTCCATTTTGTTATCTTTGTTTTTTGCAACACCATTTGTTCGACCTCCTTGTACTCCATTGCTTTGCTTTATCTGAATTTCTTCTTCTCACCCTACAATATTAGGGAAAATAGCATATTTTTCTAACTATAAACTCTGTATGATTGTGTATTTGTTTTCTCTTTACCCTCACACTAATTATCTGCATCGACAAGCTTTTAGTTCTGGGTTTTGCATCTTTCATAGGATTTATCATTTATCCAATTAGGTTGCTTGATCGATTAAATTTCGCATTTTACTTATATTATAAAGGATTTTGCTGCTATTGTAGCTCTCTGAAACTCTGAAGTTTGATAAATATATTACCTTCTATTATCCGATCAATCTAACTGGGGAGAAAGATGTTTTGTATTGATTCTGGATATGATCATGTGAATCACCATTATGCTGGCAACTGGTAATTTTGTTCTCATGATGATTTTTATGCTCAATTGTTTTACAGCTCTGGTTTTAGGTCATTTCATATCAAGTCTTTAAATTGTCTCAGATATATGCATAGGCTTGTAAAAAAATACCTGGAAATGTCATTCAATTATTAAACGGAGGTGATCTCTTGTATGCCAAATTAAGATTGAATGAATGTGTGTTGTTTAAACAAATTGGGATTAAAATCATATTGCCTTTGTTGGTGTTGGCTCACAAAAAACTATGGCTTTGTTCTCCTTTTAGTTTACTTGTTTGTTGTTGTTGGTGTTGTTTAAGGTGGTGTTTTTACTTGCTTGATCTTGATCTTAAGCTAGTAGATTTTCTTTCTCTGTGCTTAGAAAGGCATTGTGTGCTATATATGATCAATATGGGAATTGAATGTGATATAATAAAGATAAAGACAAACTTTTGTATATAGACTGTGGCTGTTGTTTGCTTATCTCATTTATCAGGTATTTGCTAGAGTTGCTTCTTCATTTAGCATTTTATTCTGATCGAATACCTTTATTTATAGCAGCATGCTAACAAGATTGTTTGCTTCAGTTATTACTCCCTATAACATGAGGTGACTTGGAGATGGCAGAGTTACCCGGATATGTACGTTCCTGTTTGAACACAGGGAAGCTTGCTTTTTTGGCAATTTTGGTCGCTGGAGGAATCGTCTTGCAAATTTTGGTCGGTATCGTCTTCTTGTTCTTGATTTATCATAAATAGATGACATCTTATCGGTGAAAATGTCACTGTTTACTTACATCTGTGTTATGTGCCAGGCATGTGCCTTGTATAATAATTGGTGGCCGTTGCTAAGTGGTGAGACAAAGCATAATTGAAATTTGAATCCAGTATACTATATATTTATTTCTTTTCATTAACGGGATTGTTATCTAACGAATACATCCCCTTGGTTGTTATTACATCCTCGTGTTTTGTCTCTTGCAGCGATAACTTATGTGGTTCTTCCAATGCCTTTGCTGTTCTTTGCGGGGTCTGATGGTTCTTCTATATTTTCTGAATCTGATAATAGGTAAAGCTTATGTTTTAGCCTAAACTAAAAAGTAAGATCATTCAACTTTTATCGTACAACTTGTTAAATAAGTTTGATCTTCATTAAAGTAAGATCTGAATTGTATCAGAAAAGAAAAAGAAAAAGAAAAATGCAAAATCCTATACCAAGATGAGGGATTAATCATTCAACATTTTGTTTTGTGGTCCGATGAATGATGGAGCAGCTGGGTGGATTTAGCCAAGTTCTTGACCGGAGCCTCAACTGTAGGAAGCATTGCCATTCCGTGCATATTAAAGCATTCCGGGGTTATTGGTTGGGGAGCCTTTGCAATGGAACTCTCTTCCTTCTTTGTGTTTGTATTAGCCATAATGTGTTACATGTGGATGAGTGATGAAGATGATTACAGTACGCTATGAGATGAGAGTTTGGTGGTTCTTGCTTCGTAAGTGTAAAAATGGATTTATTCCTTTTGTACTTTTACAATAGCCGCGGCAAAATTTCGTGACCAAATTACAAAAAAGATCCATGAAGAGCTTGGTGTTTATTATTATTATTTTTATTAAAGTAAAGGCGTTAAAGAGATATGCCTATACCTGTTAGATGAATTAAGTCGCTGGAACGCTAGAACGCTAGTTTCTATCGAAGTTTTGATCACTTTGATCAATATGCCTATACTTGTTAGATGAATTAAGTAAGTTTGATCTTCATAATTTTAAGCTTTCCCTTAAGGGAGGGGAAGGAAGCGAGCACCTGCGGCTTGGTCCGGGAACTGGCAGCATTGGTGGGGGGATTTCTTTGGTATATGATAAGAGGCCTCCTATAGTAAGAGTTTATACTAGGAAGGGTTGCAGGATGTGTAAATCAGATGCTGGAATGGGATGCAGTTAAATGTACAATTATATGCAGTTATAACAGTCCAGTTATTATTGGCTTATTGCAGTTATATAGGAATATTAAATAGGCAGTTAATGATAGGCAATTATATGTAGGGAAAAGTGTTTGTCATTTTAAATGACATAACATTGTCCTTTTAAGAGAGAGACAGACACAGAATTTTTTATTATTTAAATTTTAAATTAAAAAAAAAACATTCACTTTCTCTCTCTCATAATTTTTATTTTTCTGTGTCTATTTCTCTCTTAAAATGACATAACTTATGTCATTTAACATGACAAACTCCAAACGCTTACATGTAATTACAGCAGTGCAGTTAACTATGACAGTTACGAAGAAATGTTAAATAGTAGGAGTAACCAGAAAGTAGTCAGTTAGACAGATTTTAAGTGTGCGAGTGGGAGAGACCAGTAGCCTCTCAAATGCTCTGACTGGATGTATAGATGTATAGCTTAATACTGTATATTTCATGTAACACGTTTACTTCATAATTTTGCTCCCTATATCTTCTAGTCTAACAAATTTAGTAAACCATACATCCGGAGGATTTGAGAGGTTATTTGTCTCTCTCACTTACACTTGAAATCTGTCTAACTGACTACTTTCTGCTTCTGGTTACTTATTTAATGGGAGTGAATATTTTCATGTTACATAAAACATGACATAGTAATATGGAAAGAGAAACAAAATATATTGAAATAAGTAATTATAAAATTATCATAAGTAATTTACCTTTGAATAATTGTAATTTTTCCACTTAATTATGTCATGTTTTATTTAATATAAGAGGATTCATTTCCCTCTTTAATATTCCTACATAATTGCCATGATTAACACCAATGTCATCTTGAAGAGGGGCATAAGATCTTAATCCTGGACTCGTCCTGCACTCAAGATTAGTTTATAATAGGCTCAAAGAGCCGAAGCATGTGAGGATATCAGGAGAACTTATTCGCCACAAAGAAATAATTAAGTTTGATATTTTTTTTTAAAAAAAAAACTGCCATGATTAACTGCACTGGTGCAACTACATATAATTGCTTATCATGAACTGCCTATATTTATATTTTTTTTAGTAATTTAATTAACTGCCTATTTAATATTCCTATATAACTGCTTGTTGCATCAGATTTGCAACCCTTCCTAGTATAAACTCTTATTAGGGGTGTTCACGATCTAAATTAAATCGGTTTTGGAAGTAAAAATTATCTGATCCAATCCCTTCGGTTTAATCATATAATCATCTATTCGGTTTGAATTTTTTTTAAATCTGATATGATCCAATCCAATTTTATTCGGTTTGGATTGGATCGGTTTTCGATTTTTTGAAAAACCTAAGATTTGTATGATGATTATTTGGCAAATAACATATCTTTTATATGAAAGTTTGTATGATGATTATTGTACAATCTAGAAGCCTTGTACAACAAAAAGTTAAATTATCATCTTTTACTTTCAACAAAAAAATTATAATATGGTTGTCTGAGATACGAAGTACCCAACTTTTTATCCTGTAGAGGAGCTGCTGTACAACAATAGCCTATGTAATAAAAATATATTATGTATCTTACAAAAAAAAACATAACATAGATCAAGTACAATCCACTTTCTCCAACATGATGGGTTAATGAGTCTTGAATTTAGAATTTTGCTATATGATTTTTAGACTATGATTGGGGAAAGACCCAAATAGGTAGATGATAAGGTTGAAAAATAATTGGATCGGTTTGGATTTGTTCGGTTTTCATCAATCCATCCAAAAATCGATCCAATCCAATTAAATTTTACGATTTTTTTTCGATTTTTGATTTTTCGATTTTCAATTTTTCAATTCGGTCACCGTGATTTGAATCAATTTGGATCGGTTAATGAACACTCCTAATTCTCTTACTATAGGAGGCCTCCCATCGGTATACCAGGAAGGTGATATAGTGTTGATACAGCGCTCAGAGTCTCGTATGTTTTGTTGCATTTAAAATTTTCAAATCTTAAGGGGGCGTTTGTTTCGGGAGTTTGATAAAGTTTCTTGGGGAAGTGATTCGTGGATTGTCATAACTCCACGTTTGGTTCACTGGATTCATGAAATTTATCCATCTTTCGTTGTTCCCCATGTTTCGACAATTACATGTGATTTTTTTGAAAAACACTATTGAAGATTGCTTGTTCGAAGGTCGTATTTTGTCTGAAATCCGGAGAAGTCAAAAAGTGGTATAATTCGGTGATAACATCTTACTCCCCATGTTTCTGCGGTTGTTTTCTCCATATTTCTGGTCAATGGAACACAGTTTGAAAAGAAAGTCCCCAGAAAACGGATTCAATAGCTTTTCTCTGGATGATCTTAATGAAGATCTCTTTGAAAGGGTACTTTCATGGTTACCAACTTCCACATTTTTCCGCCTTACTTCTGTGAGTAAAAGATGGAAATCAGCTGCTGCTTCTTTGAGTTTCAAGCTTGCTTGCTCACACATGCCATCAGAAGTTGGCGTCCTGTTGCAGCCTCTGGTGGCCTTATTTGCTATAGAAGGATGGTAGAGGATATCCGTGGAACCACACACGTAGACAACGTGGGAGAGAGATGACAAACGAAAACAAAGACAAAGACGATGTCAATATTGCCGTTGAGTCAATTGAATATAATTTGAATAAGCGTTCAATAAGTTGTAAAAATAAAGGGTTATTTTATAATTTTACTAAATTTACCCGTCAATATTTTATCTTAACCAAACACACGTTCAAAAATTTTACTCAATTTTTTTTATAAAATTTTGTCCAACCAAACAACATTTTTTAAACTTTTCTATATATATCACTTTCCTTACAAATCCCTAATAATTATATTTCCCTAGTATTCAAAAAATCTCTCCTGAACTAAACGCCCCTTGAGAAATGTTGTGTTTGGTCTTTCCCGGATAAATGAAACTGATTTTAAGCGTGAGACTCATAAAATTTTACCCCCCCAAAAAAAAAACTTTAATTATATTTTTCAAAAATGATTTCACTTCATTCAAGTAAAATCAATTCTTTTAATTTATTTTTTAAAATATCATTTCCAAATGAAAACAATTTTTTAACATCAATTTTATTAAAATCTAAACCAATTCAATTAAAAGTTAAAGCAAATCGAGTTCCAGTGCTCAGTCCTGTAGTGCACTTGCAGCGCTGACAATGCCAAATTTCCGATCTATATCGAAGATTATCTTCTCCCCTTTTCAAAAAAACCAATTACAATATCATTTGTAGTCATGTTTGTGATCACAATAATGATATTTGCGTATCACCTTATCGAGATCATTCTCTGAAGCCTAATGGTCCAAAAAATTCATCATAGTCGATGACGGCATACCCTATGAAATAAGGAGAAAGATTAGGTCGAACATCTAAATCTAAACACCCGCTATTGCCACCATATGGTTCAATATGCCAATCACAGGAATGTCACGAACTTGCATTCTAGAATATAACTACAGCATGGTTTCCCAACAAGGAGTTCTTTTGATCATGGCAGCAAATCTCACTAAACTAAAATTTGAGAACGAACTGGATAGTTTATGTTCTGAGGAGTGAGGACAAACATGAAGAGAAATAAATAACTGACAACATATGGAAAACCTATATAGCAGTTTCTTCACTTCTTCCTAAAGTAAACTTGTGCAAAACATTTTTTTAAGTTACTGGGAGAAGTAACCATTCAGCAACTAAAGTATATCACTAACGATGATGAACGGTGATTCCCAGCTCTAAAAACCAGAGACATAAATAATGAAAAGATAAAAGGCATACATGATTAGTAAAATCTATTAAAGCCATTGAATGAATGAATAATTCTAATGACTAACCTCAAGATTCACATCACGACATCCACAAACTAACCATCAATTTTGTTCCCCATTTAAAGCACAATCCATTGGTCTCCCCCCTGAACGGGGATTAAGAACAAGGTGGCCGGAACAGATTGTGTAGGAATTCCTATTCACACCCAAAAAAGAAGAAGTAGAATCCACTGTTCTTCACAAAGCCAAACTATTATCACTGATTGATCCTAATGCTAGACATAATAGTTCGTGAATTTTTTATTTTTTATTTTTTATTTTTTTCAAAAGGAGTTGGGGGGAAGGTCATCGGATAATTGAGATATAACTATATAACAAAAATGAGAAATGTCGATGGAACAATCTTAGAACCAGACAGTGATAGTGAGATACCACGAATAAATGGAGCATAAAGCAACAGAACACAAACAATACATAGATACCTGGCGCACTAAGATTAACATAACATAACATAACATCACGGTCATAGTCATAGTATTCGGGGGATGCATCAATGTCACAGCTCACCATACTGAACACAAGCAGATACATTAAAACATGAGAAATAGCCCAAATTTTGTTTCATTTATACCAAAAAGTGCATCAGTTTTGTTCATTTAAGGCAGAGGGTTGGGAAAGTAAAGCAGAGCAAGCTAGTCTCAGAAGACGACGCGAAACTGGGGCGCGTTGGACCCAATCGCGGGAAGAATCTCCCAGCGGCATGGCTGGAGGTCTTCTGAGACAGGGCAATAGCCAGCGAGTGTGACCTTGTCGTTGGAAGCGCCGAATTCGAAAACGGAGACGTTGGTGTTTGGGGGTCGGGGAACCTCCATAGCGCCGTTCATCCCAGGGACCTCAGCGCCAGCGGTGGTGGGTTTGGCCGTGGCATTGGTGTTCTTAATTTGCGACTTTGCTTCAGATTCAGGTTGGGATTTCTTCCCCTTCCACCATGAAAGCAGACCCATGTTCACTTCACTGTTCAGGTAAAGATTATGTCTAAGCTAGGGATTTGGAATACAAAACCATCTTTGCTTTAGGCAAATGACTTCATTGCCCTTTCACTTTTTTTTTGGTGAGTATGGGCCATAGGCCCAGAACAAGAAAAAAAAATGACACTAAGAAACTGTTTTAAATGAGATAGGATGTTGGAATAACTAATCGGAGTTATTATCAATATTATTATCAATTACTTTTATTATTAAATTGATTATATTTATTCAATAATTATATTTATTTTTATTTTTATATAGTTATAATTTTTTATTTCACGTTAAATACAAAAAATCATAATTACATAAAAATATAAATAAATATAAAATATTAAATATAAAAAAAATAAATATAACCATGAGTTGGATTAAAATAATCCATCTAACCGTAGTAAGTCTCCCCAGTTGTTAGAGTATCATATCCTTTTTAAATTATTAATTTTAATATATTTATGTGAATTTCAAATGGTAGATAGCATTGAGAAGATCTAGTTTTTGAGTAGTAGAAATCTCTATCCCTTTCTTTACCCTTAAGCCATGAATGAAGAACAACAGTCTCTGCTTCTCAACTCATCTTCTCGACGCTTCTTGTCCCCTCAAGGTTTTGTTCTTTTCGCGCTTCTGTCTTGGTATTTTATAGTGATAGTAATACTATGATGATGTTTTTTGACGTTTGGATGTTTTGCAGGAGTGAAGGTGTCTTACGGCACGGCCGGTTTCAGAGGCGATGCATCAATTCTGGCATCGACGGTGTATAGGGTTGGAATCCTGGCAGCTCTCAGATCGCTAAAGACCCAGTCGGTGATCGGCATCATGATCACCGCCTCACATAACAAAGTCTCCGACAACGGTGTCAAAATCGCTGACCCAAATGGAGGCATGCTCTCTCAGCATTGGGAGCCCTTCGCTGACGCCCTAGCCAACGCCCCTTCTCCCCAACAACTCATCCAGGTTGTGGTAACCACAAAAATAATGCCTTTTAAGTCACCACTCATGTTTAAGCTTATGCTTTTTAAGCAAGACAGGCCAAACAGACAGTTGCATTACCATTGATGTTCTGTTGTGTTGATTTTCTGAGGTGCTTCAGCATCACTCACAAATAACACCCAATTGATTGTGGTTCTATTTTACTCACAGTTGGTAAATGAGTTTGTCGAGAAAGAAATGATCCCATTGGATGGGGTAAGGCCAGCCGAAGTGCTTTTGGGGAGAGACACGAGGCCAAGCGGTGATGCTTTGCTTGAAGCTGCTAGACTAGTATGGGAACCATAAGCAATATTGAGCTTCTACCATCTTTTATTGTTGTTTTCTCTTTCGCCAATTTTAATCACATTTATTTAATTGGATAAATGAAGGGGGTCACTTCAATTGTTGGAGCTGTTGCCACGGACATGGGGATTTTGACAACTCCTCAACTTCATTGGATGGTTCGTGCTAGAAATAAGGGCATGAAAGCCTCAGAGCAGGATTATTTTGAACAGCTTTCGAGCTCATTCAGGTTAGTCCAATCCAGTCCAGATATTGTTGTGTTAGATGGACGTAACTCTGTGATGTTATTGATATTAAAATCATCACTGAACACATCCTTTTAGGATCATTATGTGATTGGATCAGGTGCTTAATGGATTTGATCCCAACTGAAAAAAGTAAGTTCAATGGGATGGATGACAAATTGGTTGTGGATGGAGCTAATGGTGTTGGTGGACTAAAACTTAAAGTTTTAGAGAAATTGTTGAGTGTTTTGGTTATTGAGGTTCGGAATAGCAGTGAAGATGATGGTGTTCTGAATGACGGAGTTGGTGCTGATTATGTGCAGAAAGAGAAGTTTGTTCCACGTGGCTTTGGTTCTAAAGATGCAGGGATGAGGTTAGTATGTTCATCGTCTGATGCTAAAAATGAAGTTGGCATCATAAGTATGTTGCTCGGGTTGTTATACCAAATACCAATGTGAAGTGTATATCTATATCCCTTGAATTTTCCATTAAAACAATTGAGATTATCTTTTTAACTAGAGATTGTAAATGGTTTAATCAATCTACAATCTACATTGTTACTGCAAGTGATTCGTACTAAAAAAAAAAAAGTATTTCCAACAATACTTGAAGAAATGAAAGGCTTATCATTTATTGAATCTTTCAAATTCATACCCGAGGACTGACGCTTGCAGACATGATCATTGAAAATAATTTCACTTAAAAAAATAATAAACAAAAACCTTTTGACTTAAAAAGACTAGGTTTCTATGCAACAAGTCATCTGATTTTATTTTATTTTTTTACTGGTAGGGGTGTTGGCAAAAGTGGGTGGGTTAGGGAAAGTTACAGGGTGGTCTTACAAAAAGCTAGATAACTTGGCCCTTCCATTTGATTTAGTAGATGTATTCTTTTAGCATTGCTGTAATGGTGTTTTATTGTCCTTACTAATGGAGCTAGTTCTAGTTTGCAGGTGTGCTAGTTTGGATGGAGATGCTGATCGGCTTGTTTATTTTTCTGTACCACCTGAAAGCAGTGGTATGATCGATCTTGTTGATGGGGACAAGATGCTATCCTTGTTTGCCCTATTCATCAGGGAGCAACTAAGCTTTCTTGATGAGAAAGAAGACATAAAAAACTACCACCAAGCCCGTCTTGGAGTTGTACAGACTGCTTATGCAAATGGAGCATCTACTAATTACCTCAAACAATTGGGACTTGAAGTCAATTTTACTCCAACTGGAGTGAAATACCTGCACGAAAAAGCTGCTGAGTATGATATTGGCATCTATTTTGAGGCAAATGGCCATGGAACTGTCTTATTTTCAGAATCTTTCATAAGGTGGTTAGAGGCCAGAACCAACAAGCTTTCTTCAGGATCCCAAGGTTTAATTAGTGTTTTTTTGACTATTCTCACTTCGCTTATAAGATTCAACTGCAGAACAGAACATAAATCGTTTGGTTGTTGGTTTCAGGTTCAGAAGTGGAAAAGGCTGCTTTGAGATTACTGGCAGTCAGTAAGTTGATAAACCAAGCTGTTGGAGATGCTTTGAGTGGATTGCTCTTGGTGGAAGTCATATTACATCAGATGGGATGGTCAATTCATAGATGGAATGAGCTTTATCATGATCTACCCAGCAGGCAGCTCAAGGTCAGTTATTATTATCATTATCTTTTCTGTAACTAGAATTGTTGTACAACTTGTACTGCTGTCAGAAGCTTCATCCGGACCATAAATATATAATCATGATATTTTCCTGTTTAAGATATAATTTCTTTGTATGATGAAGTACATAACTTCAGTTATAATTCTGTGGCCCTGCAATACCTGAAATTTTAATCATAGTTATTACCTTAATATCCTATGTTCTTTGCTTTAGGTTCAATGGCAAAGTTGGAACTAATTAGTGGCTAATTCTAGTGCAAGATTTGGTGTAATGAACAATGAATTTTGCTAATTCCAGTTTTTTTTTTTTTTTTTGCTTCAAATCATTTTCTGTAATTGTTAGAATGACAGTTTGATTTGCTTAATGGCTCAACATATGTTCTTACAACTGTTTAAATTTAGCTTGAAAGCCTTTGTTTTAACATGGATTAGGTTCGATTCATGCCTTCTTATAATTTTCTGTCTCAGTTGCTAACATTTGCAATCTGGTGGCCATGCTTTTAACCCAAAATTTTACATTTCACCTTGGTTGTGAAGTTATTATTCAATGTAAATCTTTTAATCTGCCCTCCCATATTTATTGTTGTTATTAATGTTATTGCATGTAATTTGCCTAGTAGCCAACGGCTTAATCATGTGTCTACTTTTGATATATATGCGACAATGCCTCTTGTATCAATATATTTATTTATACTAATTACCTTCTTTTATTCTGAAATGAATGCTTGCTTTTTTTTTTCTTAACTGTCAGGTTAAAGTTGCCGATAGAACTGCAGTGATTACAGCAAATGCAGAAACTGTGGTTGTGAGCCCCCCTGGTCTACAAGATGCCATCAATGCAGAAACTGGTATCTTTGCTCTTTCTCTTTTTTGCCATGATATGTATGTTTGAGTTACCAATGTGTTTTACCAACTTTCACATTGATGTCAAGTTTCTAAGATTGGTGAAAAAAAAAAGATGAAGAAATGGTAGAATAGGACCACTTATTGTGACTTTGAGGTCAGTTGCATTTCTCCCCACTAATTGAAGGAGCGAGGGAGGCTAGTGCCATTTGTCCATACCAATTTTGCAAGATTTGTTTGAGGCTTGTTTTTACATATGCGTGTGTGTATATATATATATATATTGCGTTGTTTTACTCAAAGCACTGGCATTATTCTTAGTTCCATTATTGGTTGCATGCTTTTATCTGCGAAACAAACAAGCAATTGTTGCTTCCTTTTTCCCCAAAAAAGGAAGGGAAAGCAGAGTGAGAGAGGGAGGGAAGGAAGCCAAAAGAGTAGGAAAATGAATTTTACCATCAGCAATTCCAGAAAAGGTGGTACCTCATAGTTCATTAGATTATATTACTGGTACTGTTATGCAGTCCAAGTGGCTTGGCAAAATTGCATGAGGATGAGAATATTAGTCAGCTTCATCTATCCATTAATACCTTTTAGTACGAAGATTAAACTTGTTTGAGGATTTCAATTTACTAATATTGCAGCTTGGTTTGGTACTTATTTCTCTTGTGGGTTTACAGCTAAGTACCCTCAAGGTCGATGCTTTGTGCGACCATCTGGCACTGAGGATGTTGTTCGTGTATATGCCGAGGCATCCACTCAGGAAGCAGCAGATACCCTAGCTAACTGTGTGGCTAAACTTGTGGACCAATTCTTAGGGTGCAGCAGCTCTTGACATACCTTCTCCTTCTGTGTTTTCCTTTTTTTTTCCAGCTAATAAGATTCATCAGAACAGAACGAACTTGGCTTTGAAGTTCTCTAACCATCGAGATTTTCCAATAAAGTTTCTCCTGGTGGTTGGTCTTTACATTATTTGCTTGTCCAACAAGTGTATTCTGAATTTGGCTAGAATCCATCATTGTTCAAATGTACTTCTATACATGAACATCTTAAAATTAAGGTTATAGTTAGAAGATTTTATTCGTGAAATCACCAATATCTGGAATGATTCTGATTCGAATGCTTCTGCTAGTCTCAACTCCCGAGCAGGACGGATCCATAAAACATCATATTGAGAGGGCTAAACTTATGTTAGTTTAGATATTTAAATAAAGATGCATTTGGCAAACCGGGTTGAATTCTCCCATCAATTATGCTTGTATTGTCATATGTAAATTTATTTTTCTAATATATTATTTTTACTAAATTTATACGAGTAGTTGAAGGGATGCGTTTATGGTCGTTTCCCAATGTTGTTAAGGCAGAAAGTATACTTCACTGCTAGATCAATGCTCCGGGGTTAGTCCTAAGATATTTTTGTTAAATGGGATGGCAGATATTAATAAAATGCAATGCTAGAGTAAGTGCTTATGTTCATTAAATAAAGAAAGTTATGGTGATTTGGTACAAGAACTGGGCTTCGTTTGTTTTAAATTTTTAAACATTTCAAAAAGTTATTTAACCGAAGTAAAATTTGTTTGCTTCATATAAAAGTGTTAAGTGATGTGATACTTTTTAAAATATACAAAATTATTTCGATGATGCTTTATTAGGATCATGAAACCCTTTTTCGAATTAAGTTCTTTCGTTTACATTGAGAAGAATTTCAAACAAAATTGTCATTAGTACATAAGGGAGTAAAGTTTTTGCACGCTAAATAACTTTTGGATAATTATAATTATTATATTTATATGAAATACCAATCATTTTTCCATGACAAAATGCATTTATTTTATGAAAAAATATTTCTAACATGAGATAAACGACGTCAATGTTTGATCCTGGAGAATCAATTTCTATAGGATCTAGATTCACTTTCTCAACTAAGAAAGAGTTTAGAAAATGTGTACTTGGTTGCCTTAATCCTTTATTTATAGATGAGTTATAAGATAAAAATGGATTTGTAAGCCTCTTAAAAGTATTGAAGATTCAATTCTTAATCCATTGTTACTGCACTAGGATTAGTATAATTAAAAAAAATTTACTTAATTTCTTTCTTAGCTGTTAGTCTTGTTTGAGCCTTCTACGGTCTTTATGTCAGATCCATAACAATTGCTTGAGGAATTAACAAAAGATATTTTAGAAATTTTGTTTGTTTCTTTATTATATCAATTTTACCAAAATACCCTTTATTAATTTTCCTAACTCCATAAATGACAGTCACATAATTTTGAGATTATTTGAGATAACTTTATCTCTTAGGAGAGAAACAACAAACCCTTATATTATTGGGTTTGTTTTTTCTGTGATGAACACAGGTAAGTTATCTTATTGAACTCAAAATGACGTTATTTTTAGATAAAAATCAATGTATTTTTATAATTATAATTTATTTTAAGATTATAATAGTCTCTTTATCATTATAATTTTTTTATCTTTCAACCCAAAATGATACCCTTTTGATAGGATGAATACATATACTTATTTACAAAAATAGTAAAACCAATTTTATTATATTAAAATGAGTTTTAAAGCTTCCATACTAATGAGTTTTACTACAGGAGTGAATGGATTCGTGAAAAAAAAAAGGGGAATATAAAATGAGAATCGACTTGTCGTTTCTGGGCAATATTTCTTCTTCAGTCATCACTCGTAATTTCTCCTGCGCCGCTGCAGTTTCTGACGAGCATGGATGTCACTCATTTTATATAAAAAAAGAGTTCCCATTTTGAAAAGCGGTTAATGCGGGCCTCTACTTTGAGTTTAAGGCGCTTCCCTCTTTCTTCTTCTTCTTCTTCTTCTTCCAATCTTGGGTATCGCTATCGCTATCGCACCAACCATTCTGAACCCTTGAAAGCTCCATTACCGTTTCTGAGAAAATCCTATTGCGACGACTCTCTGCTCCTCCACTATCTATCGAGTGGGTGGCATCACGAAGCACGAAACCTCCTTCAGAAATGTTCAGGAAGAGACCTCCACGCCCGCGTTGTTCGCTGGACCTCGTTGCTCACCAACTTCTGCAAGAAGGGTTACGTCGACGAAGCTCGAATGCTGTTCGACATAATGCCTCACAGAAACATCGTCACTTGCAATGCAATGTTGTCTGGGTATCTGCAATCCGGGATGCTCAGCGAGGCTTGTCGGTTTTTCGAGAACATGCCCGAAAGGAACGTTGTTTCTTGGACCGCAATGCTTTGTGGGTTTGCTGATGTGGGGAGGATTGAAGATGCAAGGAAGCTGTTTGATGTAATGCCGGACAAGAATGTTGTTTCATGGAATTCGATGGTGGCTGGTTTTATTAGGAATGGGGATTTGGAAGGAGCAAAGATGGTTTTTGAACAGACTCCTAATAAAAATGTGGTTTCTTGGAATGCCATGATTGCGGGTTACGCTGAAAGTGGTAGAATGGATGAAGCTAAAGCTTTGTTTGACCAGATGGACCAATGTAAGAATGTAATTACTTGGACTAGTATGATATCTGGTTATTGTCGTGCAGGCAATGTGGACGAGGGTTATTGTTTGTTCAGGACTATGCCGGAGAAAAATGTTGTTTCTTGGACAGCCATGATTGGTGGGTTCGCCTGGAATGGCTTGTATGAAGAGGCATTGATGCTTTTTCTTCATATGAGACTTTCTGATGCTAAACCAAATGGGGAGACTTTTATTTCTCTTGCCTATGCATGTGCTGGTTTGTGTTTTCCTTGTCTTGGTAAGCAGTTACATGCTCAGCTAATTGTTAACAGCTGGAAGCTTGATGATTATGATGGTAGGTTACGTAGAAGTCTTGTTAGGATGTACTCTGTGTTTGGTCTTATGGACTCTGCGCACAATGTGTTTGAAGGTGATCTGAAAAACTGTGATGATCAGTCTTTCAATTCTATGATCAATGGTTATATTCAGGCTGGTCAGTTGGAAAAGGCTCAAGAGTTGTTTGACATGGTACCCATTCGGAACAGAATTGCATGGACTTGCATGATTGCTGGCTATCTTAGTGCGGGGCAAGTGTTAAGGGCATGCAATCTATTTAATAACATGCCTGATAGGGATTCCATTGCATGGACTTCAATGATTTATGGGTATGTCCAAAATGAGCTGATTGCTGAAGCTATCAGCTTATTTGCTGAAATGATGGCTGATGGCGTTTCACCTATAAATTCTACGTATGCTGTTGTTTTTGGAGCCATGGGTTCGGTTGCATATCTTGATCTGGGGCGGCAATTACATGGTATGCAGTTGAAGACAATACATGAATATGACTTGATTCTTGAGAACTCCCTAATTTCAATGTATGCAAAATGTGGGGAGATAGACGATGCATATAGGATATTCTCTAACATGACTTATCGGGACAAAATTTCTTGGAACTCCATGATCATGGGCCTTTCAGATAACGGGAGGGCCAACGAAGCTATAAAGGTGTTCGAAACCATGCTTGAATCTGGAATTTACCCAAATACTGTTACTTTCTTAGGTATCCTGACGGCATGTGCTCATGCGGGTCTTGTTGATAAAGGGTGGGAGTTATTTATTGCCATGGTTAATGTTTATGCACTTCAACCTGGCCTGGAGCATTATATTAGTATTATCAATCTTCTGGGCCGTGCAGGAAGGGTGAAGGATGCAGAGGAGTTTGTCTTGAGGCTACCTGTTGAACCAAATTATGCCATTTGGGGGGCATTGGTTGGGATATGTGGCTTGAGTAAAACAGATGCAGATGTTGCTAGGCGTGCTGCCAAACGACTGCTTGAGTTGGATCCTTTAAATGCACCAGGCTATGTGGCCCTTTGTAACATATATGCTGCAAATAATAGGCACATTGAGGAGACAAGTTTAAGAAAAGAAATGAGGGTGAAAGGTGTGAGGAAGGCACCCGGCTGTAGTTGGATATTGGTGAAGGGTAGAGTTCATGTTTTCTCATCAGGAGATAGATTAGTACCACAAGTAGAAGATATGTTGCTGCAAATTTCAGGTAGAAAATGAGGTCGGAAAGAGTGAAGAAGACACCTGGAGATAAGAGTTCATATTTTTTTGGACGGATGATAAATTACATCGGCGAGTTGAAGAGATGTTATTGCTATTTTTAACACCAAACATCTCTTCAAAGCCTTTTCTTTCCTCCCATTTTCTCCTTTCTCTTCCATCCATATAACACTTCTTTAAATGTAGTAGTATTGTGTTCCATCCAAATACCCGATTGGTGGACAGTTGTGAAAAGATTGTGAAAAATCCAAATTGTAGTCCAGCTCTTATCTAATGACTTTAAATATATTGTAAATTATTTGTGATAGATTAAATTGTGTAAACAATAGTACACTTGCGTATTGCAATTTCCTTGGGCTTGACCCGAGTTTTCATAGCCGACAATGACATTATTGCAAAATATAAATAGAATATAACAGTTTGCTCTCGGTGTTCCAAAGCACCATTGATTATGGACTACTAGTATAATAATGTTGCCCCCTGTAATAAAATTATGCAGGTGATCCTGTGAATTGAATATGAGACCTGCTTTTACCAAGAAACTCTGTTGGTTGCATTAGTACTTCAAACTTAACGAGCACCTGCCTTGTCAAGTTCTTCCAAAGCTGCCCATAGTTTTGGATCTTCATAATCCTTAATCAGAAAGGCAGGCTTTGCTTCCATCAGTAAATGCTCTGGGTTTCGGGTAGCTAAACCTATAACAGGCATCCCAGCTGCCACTCCAGCTTTGATCCCTGAAACGGAATCCTATGACAACAAAACAGAAGGTGTGACAAAAGCAGACAAAAATTATTCTATAACAAAGCATCATAAAAATGCAGACCTCAAATACAAATGTGTGATCCTTTGATGCCTTGAGAGCTTCAAGACCTTTCAAGTAGGGGTCTGGATGAGGCTTGGCATGTTCACATTCACCACCAATGATAAGAGCTTCAAAAAAATCTGAGAGACCTAGTATTGAGATCATAAGTTCTGCATTTGCTCTTGGAGCATTGGTAACTGCAGCTCGCTTCAACCCACGATCTTCAATCCATTTCCTCACTTTATAGAGGCCATTCAAAGGCTTCAGTTGCTCAGCCGCCAATCTGGATAGTCCATCAGGGTATTATCTTCTGAAGCTTCAAATGAACCACAAGGGGGAAGAGGGTGGGTGTGTGTGTGTGTGTGGGTGGGGAGAAAATAGGCTTTACCTCCGGAACATGGCTTCCTTTTCATCTACAAACTTTAAACCCCGTTCCATATCACCAGGAAAGAGATCCAAGGCAATATCATCATTGTGCTTGCCAGCAACAGTCTTAATAAAAAATTCCTCTGTTATGGGAACACCTCCATTGAAACCAATCTGACAACCACCCAAGTTTCTGTTAGTTTTCTAATAGCTATTGATCACATCCTTAGTCATGGGGATTCATAAATACGATAAAAGGACTATATAATATCTATTTTCTAAATATTTTGCCTTAAAACATTTTTACTAGAAAAGAAACACTACCTCTAGGAGCATTTCACGGAAAGCATAGTAGTGGAGTGGATCAGAATCACAAATAGTTCCATCTATATCAAAGAGCACCGCTTCGAGTGGAGCAAGTCCGGTGAGAGAACTCTTGCTACTACCACAACATGAAGGTAATAAGTGAATGGTGCAGTAAATGAAAGAACATAATATATTAATATGCCTATATACTGAAGTTTCTATCAAGAAGCCTCAACCAACTATCCCAAACATATCTAACAACGCAAAGCATATCTTATATACTAGTATGCCATTTGCGGTTGTTCGGTTGAACAAGAAGACAGCAATACGAAAATTATGACATTACACACCATGCATTCACTAGTTTGGGCATAGAGAGTTAATTCATATAGTTGCAAGTGAAAGCATGTAAACCAATGCAGTAGATAATATGTAGCTGAATATTAGATATTTCTAAAAATTAATTATCTAAGGACGGTGGACGCTTGATCATAATTTGGATGCTAACCAACAGAAGTGGCAGGCATTTCCAGTTTCCACCTTTAATTCCAAGATTGTGAATATTTACAAAGATACACAACACGACTAAATGGAGATTTGCTACTCTGCTTCAAGCCATAGCAACTAAACTGATCTCGAAGTTAACATTGACACCACTTAGCAATACACCACACACACACTCAGCTAATTAGCAGAAGTTATGTGAAATCCAAAAGTAGTTCTATATAAATACTAATCACAGCAGGAAGCAGCAGCACCAAATTCATCATAAACGGCACAGATTGTTAGTTCGCACCAGATTCCTAAATTAGATACACCTTCAATATGTACAGCAGCCAGGGGAGCTCAGGGTGGAAATATCATCATCAATGGGGCAAGCGATAATCCACCAGAATAATTATACTTATTTAGTTCATTCCTAACCAATATAAGACTTTACCACTCACACTTGAATTCCCAACACAATAATATATAAAGAGACTAATAGTTTTCTCATATTGTAGAGACTCATTTGTACAAGTGGGATCTATTTTCAGGGGAGAGAAAAAAAAAATTAAAGTGGAACCATCTTGAATTTATGTGTGCAGGAAATAGATTTTATATCATGTAACATAAGAATAATAAATCCCTTTAATAAATATATAAAAATCCAATCACATTAGGAGATAGAAGTTGGCACTTTGCACATATATGATGAATATATCACAAAACAAAAGGTTTTGCTTCTAATTTTTAAGATGAGAAAAGCTAAATACTAAAACAGGATATCTAATTTTGGCGTGAAAAATCCAACCTCATCCTCCTCTCTCTCTCTCTCTCTCTCTTTGTTCTATATGATCTTGATCTCAACAAGAACAGTGCCAGGAATACACAAATTTGTTTATAAACAAAATGGGTGGGTGTATGGATCCATCCATCAAATATTCTTATTTGCATTAAACGAGCATAACCTAATATCCAAGGGAAGTTATTCGAAAACGAGCACTGTATTGCTACAAGTGATGGTATGTATGGAAGCGAAAACGTTACCTTTCGACGCAATTCTCAGAAGAAGCCGTCATGGCGAAAGAAAAATTAGATTAGTGGGAACTGTGATATACGCATATATAATATAAGAGATCAAAGAAAAGAACAAGGTATGAGAGAGAGGCAGACAGGCAGTTACTTCGCAAGGAGAATCAACAAATGGAATCCGCCAAAGTATCAACAACACATTGCGGATATGCCATGTGCTTTTTCTTACTTCCTCTCCTTTTCCATTTTATGTTCCTTTCAGCTTTTTTATTTTTTTTTATAAGAAAATATTGGGAGGACTTATATTAACAATTTTTTTTATTGCAAATTACACTGACTAAACTCATCAGAATTCAATAAAAAGTGTATGACAAGTTATATTTAGTGTAGTTTATAAATTTGTAAGAAATTTTTTTTGTCAATATAACCTTCCCAAAAAACAATTTTGATAATATTTTGTTTTTAGGATAGGATATTGTGAATATTTTTTTTTTAATCCTAATCTACTTAAGAAAGTGCGAAGGTTAGAGATGAATAAGTAAACTAGACATGAAAAAAAAGGTAGGCACAATATCATATTCCTTAATTTTTTTATCTCTTTTTTACTTTTTTGAATTCTTATTGAGGATAGGATATTATGCCCATTGCTTTCTATGTTCATTCTACCCATTTATCTTCAACATGGTGGATCAGAATATCAGGGGAGAGACAATGGGTGAAAGTTTATTGAGATTCTAATATAACGATAAATATGAATAGGATGGATATTCTCACTATCAAACTTTTTCACTACCAACTTACTACCTATCTAATCACCATTGGATTAGTATTTTCTCTCTCTTCAAAAAACTTTATTCTCTCTCTTTGATGAAATGGTGATTAGATAGATAATAAATTAGTAGTGAAAAATTTTGGTAGTGAGAATATCATCTCTCAAATATGAGTATGTAAAGTAGATATAAAAAAATTAGATAGAATATCAAATCCCAAATAATTTATATAATTTTTACTTATAATTTTTTTATTTCAGATATCTATTTCTATATTTGTATTTATTTTGTGATTTGAATTATTATTTTGGTTAATGAAGTCATAATTGATTCGTTATATTCTTAATTTTCTTATGTCTAAGATTTATGGAATTATAATTTGGTCATGATTTTATGTTTTTAACATATTTATTTAAAATTATGATTTTTAGAATTTTTTAATAATTCTTTTTTTTTTTTTGGTAAACGAATTTTTTAATAATTTAAAACATCAACTAATGTGAAATAAGTCAAAAGAAAAAAAATAAAAATCAATTTAAAAAACTTATATGATATTATATAATAAAAAAATTTATTTTTTTATATTATATTTGATATTATTATTTTTCTCGATGAGTTAACATAATCTTATCAGCCTGTTTATTTAGGGTACATCAGAATAGAATATGAAATGAACTTATCATACTCTTACCATTATTTAACTTTATCCCACCATCTTATCTTATCTATCTTTATTTATATTTTGTACATCCAAAGAACCTCAAAATATTTTAACAAGATAATTGTTTGCAACTAAATAAAAGTTAATTTGCCTACAATTATTCAAGACGTGTTGATGAGCAAATTTCAACAAATTAATTTGTTTTGTTATTTGAAATAAGTGTTTACACGAAAATAAAGATCATCAAATTTGTATGTTTGATATTTTGAATTAATGTTTCTTCTATAATGACTCATATAGTCCCAAAACAACATTGTTTTGGAGTTTGAGAAAAAAAGAAGGATATTTTAATAAAATTTATAATATCAAGTGAAAAGAATTTTTTTTTAAATTTCTTTTTTTCTTCTTTTTTTTGCTCAAATCCCAAACCCTTTTTTTTTCGTTTTCTTTTTCCTATTTTTCAGTAAGCAAAGAACGGAATTGGTTATTTCTTTTATCTTAAACCTAGTAGAGTGTCAGAAAGTGAATGGTTAGGCTTTTTTCTCGCTGAACTTGGGAGCCAGAATACTCTTCCACTATCTGGTCAATTTTGGCCTGCCAGTTTCATACGTCAAATTTCATTTTTATATTTTATTACTATAATTCCTTCTACATTATATACTGATAGTATGCAATATACAAGTAAATTATAAATAATCATCCACATAAATTGTATATTTACTTTGTCTTTGAGCCTTCCCTGGGTTGATTTTTGGTCTTATACCTTACATTTATTTTTATTGTGATTTATTTATGATCCTTAAATATTTGTTTTTAATTTTAGTTCTTATACATGTAACTGTTTTTATCAACGTCTCACCCCTTAGTTGTCATCTATAAAGCACCGACACTTCAAAAATTATGACGTGTTGTGTCCGACACTCTCGGACACTTTGACACTCCCTGACACTCCAACACACGTTATAAAAATTCAAAACAATATTAAAAGGTTAAGTTGCGTTGAGTTTTTAGTTTCAACTATTAGATTCGTTGGATTACGATTACCATTTTATTGAGTTTAATATAAATATTTGGGATATCTTATGTTTCTTTGCAAAATGTATGAATATTATAAGTTTAGATTTATTTTTTTGTTAAATTATTGAATATTAAATACAATATATATTACATAAATTAAAAATATTATTTAATATCAAAACGTGTTCTAACATGTCGAAATCTAATATTTTTTAGAATTAACGTGTCAGAGTGTCGTATCATATCATGTCACGTCTCCCGTGTCAGTATCGGTGCTACATAAGTTGTCGTTATAATACTACGATAACTGCATAAAATTACTATGAAATATAGGGACTACGCTGAAAACAACTTTTACACATAATTTTTTTTTTTGAAAATAGTTTATATACTAATATTAATCAACTGCATCATTTGTCGATTTCCTTTGAACTTCCAACTCCACCTCCACAGATCATTTTCAATTTGGCCACTTTCTCTGGAGATTCTTTGATTCCTTTGTACTCTTTTTCTTTTTTACAATTTATTAAAAAAAAACAATTAAAAGAAAATTTATTATCATTTAAAAGTTTTTTTATTAAATTGTCGTTTTTCAATTATAAAAAAATAATAGAAACAGAATTTAAATTTCTCTCTTTTACTGTATAATGTTGTGCCTTCCACACACACATATTCATCACATATTCATGTAGTTCGAGACCTTATTAACTTTCAACTAAGGAACACGCATACATATCTATCTAGTTTACCAAAAAATAGTTAAGGCCTATCTCGGTCCTAGTTTTTCTTTAGAATTTTTATTTTATTTTATTTCATAGTCTTTTTAGCCGCTCTTTATTCTCTTGTTGTATTTTGGTCTCTCTTATAAATATTGTTATATATAGATATGAAAATAGCAAGACGTATAAGAAAATGCATCTAATATTAACATGTATAGCACATCTCAAAATTGGCCTATTAGTGAAGCTGAATAAATATGGGGAAATACTAGTCTTATATTGTAGAAAATTAATATCACATGTTATAGACACAAAATATATGGGATCTGCTCTTTTAAAATAATAATAATAAATAAATGAGTGGACCTTGTAATATTCAAAAAAAAAAAATTAAAAAAAAATAATTTAATGTCACACCATTAGCACCAAAAATGGCGCAAGTAGCGCCAGAATTGGCGCCAAGATTACAAAGAAAAAAAAAAGGGGGCCCAACGCGAGTAGCGCCATTTTTGGCGCCTTTAGTGCCAAAATGGCGCATTTTGCTCCAAAGTGGCGCTAACTCAATTTTTACGCGAAGCGCGTGAACGTAAATATATATATGTTTATGTATATGTAAAATAATAATAAAAAAAAAAATAAGTAATTAAAAATTAAGATAAATGTATGCAAATTATAATATGTTAATAATAAAATAAATAATAAAAAATAATAATATAATAATTGATTAAAAAGTAAAAACACGTAAATAAACTACAGAAAATAAATAAAAACATAAACATATAACGTAAGACCATCTGATGACCGCTTACGAATATTTTCTAGAAACTTACACGTTGATGATTACGTGGTTAGTTATTATTTGAAAGGTAATCATTACTTAGTTATAATTTAACTAATTCGTTCAAATCTAATGAAATCTAATTTAACCGTAAGCTATTCTCTTTATATATATATATATATATGCATCGCTGTCCATAAGAAGAAAGGGAGAGCAACGAGAAGGAAGAAAAAAGAGAGAGAGACCAGTGAGAAGAGAAAGAGAGAGAGAAAGAAAAATCAACATAAAACGAAAAAGAGGAAAGCGATGAGACAGAAGGTAATATTGAGAAGTTTAAAAACATTCTCTCATATTCTTTTCAATCTTTTTGGGAAAACGATGTTTAAGTTTAATATATTTGTCATCTTACCGAACTCTTTTCTTATATATTCTTATGTTTTTTACCGAACTCTTTTCTTTATATATTTTTCTGTTGAGTTTATTCTTTGATTTTATCCTTTTGCAGTATATTGTTTTTCTTTTAAATTTTATTTCTTTACAACAACTGATTATCATGTTGACGAATTGTTTGGTACCAAATAATTATGAAGAGAGTGTGTATATTTAACTGATGAAGACTGCTATGAACTGAACCACAGAGTTTGGGTTCAGACGATTATAGGGTAAGGGACGCTTTATCGTGGTTTGAGCTCCTCCACAATAAATTTTTCATATGCAGAAGACCACAAAGTTGGAAATTTATTTAGCTTCAGTTAAATATTATGCAATGTATTATTTATTATATTATTTCATTTTATTGAAATATCTGAGAGAATGGTATTTTTCGTTATTACGGCTGGAAATGGTTATAGTTAGAAAACCTCAATATTACTGAGAATTTTCTCACGTGTGTTTGTTTCGTGCTAACCTTTCTAGAAAATCATAATGCCTAGTCTAAGCTTATCAGGTGAAGGATGAAGTATCAATATTTACTCTTATGAGGACCGCATAGAGTTTTATATTGTAGTAGAAAATCAAGGAGCTGCTTCCATATTCTATGTTGATAGCGTGGAGACCTACACCTATAGGCTAGATTAGGATAAGACTTTTGTATTGTATAATTATGTGATGTAAAATATAAACTGAAGTGATGTAATATTTAGTAGACTTAGGACCTATGTAAAATAGTTTACGTATGTAACTATATGTCTTAACTTTGCCTATAAAGTAATGTTGGTAGATGTTTATATAATCTTCTTTACTGTTGTTATCATCAATATGTATTAATTAATAACATCAACTTTTTTCCATCTTATTTCACTAACGATGCATAAAGAGAAAACATATATATATAAGAAAACATGTAATATTCCTTACAAAATTTAACAGCAAGGGATGTTACAGACCCCACATATTTTGTGTCTATGACATGATATACTAATCTCCTACTACATGGGACTAGTATTTTCCATAAATATGTACGAGATATGTGATTAATTAATTAAGAATTATGTCACATATTTAAATATCTTAACTTTGTTAGGTTATTAGGTATCTAGCAAGTTCCCCACACATTAAATTGACACGAAATATATTTTGGGATATAATATTATGTCTATTTTATTTACTCTTTTTCAATACTGTTAAATTAGAATCTCAACTAACTTGTGTCCTTCCTCTTTTCTCTTAAATTCTGGTTTAATGGTATTAGAAAAGAGTGAGTAGAATATACATGAAAAAGGTAGGCATAACAGTCAACTTTTCTATCTACGTGCATGTTTAAGTTTTTGTTCTTTGTGTGCTGATGGTTCATCCATATCTATCTTATGTTAGAAATATTGAAGTGTGAGTGGTAATAAAGTCTCACGTCGATTAAACATGAACCAAGTGAAGACTATATAAGTGCGAAAGACTCATGGACCTACAATCTTAAGATTTTGGATTCAAATATGATATCGGGCAACTTATTGTAATTTGTCATTTGGCTCGTTAGTATATATATCCTTTGTAAAGGGTTTGGGTCCATGACCACACATGTTGTGTTTTGAGGCATTTGAACACTTATGATGTAAAATGAGCCATATGATGCATAAATGGCAACATAATTGGTGAATGAGGTAAAATGATACATTGGTATTAGATTATGCATGATGGAAGGGCCTAGAGCCTACATTAGTAAGGGTACATATGTTATATTAAGTATCAAAGTGTTAGGAATGAAATTATAGGTCCCTTGTGGAGTCAAAAAGCTGTCAAAACTGAGATTTCACAGTAGGGAATCGATTCCATGTTGCTGGGAATCGATTCCCTGAAACAGAACACGAAATTTTCAGCCACTATGAAGGCTGGGAATCGATTCCTTAAAACAGGGGAGCCAAAAATGAAGCTTTCGTGTGTTACTGTAGCTGTTGGGAATCGATTCCTTGAGGTAGGGAATCGATTCCCACTGTACAAAATTTTGAAAAAGTGTCATTTTACAACCTAATGTGATGATATTGCTTAGAGGGGTTATAATAAATAAGTTTTATGCTTCCGCGAGTTTTGCATTTACGATTACAGTGTTGTTTTTAATTGATTACGGAAATGGTTAATATTTAAAGTTAAGGATTTAATAAAAGAAAAAGTTTATCCGTAATTTAATTAACTCAACTATTATTATTGTAACTGCGCTTAATACCATATGCAATGATAACATTACCGGTACGTAAAGGCTGTTAGAGTACCCATTCAGACTAACTCCTAACGGGGCAACTGTGGAACTTACAGTGCAGAAAGAGCTGAAGTTAAGCTCAAATTAAGGATTATAATGCATCAGGGACAACTTCTATTGGATCAATGCAAATTGAGAACCTTAAGATTAATATTCCCATTGCATAACATAATTGCCACACTGGATCCAAGGCCCCAAAGTGGTTTCCATGTCATTGCTGATGTGGTTCGAGGGACTTCCTCATACCAGTCTTCTTCAGCATACATGGATCTTTTTGAAATCGTCAATATTGTATAAATACCAGTATTAATACATAGAGCGAGTAGATAATCACTATCATATGCATTCAAAGTAGCACTAACATGTCTAAAGTTGCGTAGGTTATATTAATTGTGGGTGGGTTCCATAATAAATAAAAAATATTATAAATTATATTAATTCTTAAGAAATCATTTATATATGTTTTTTTTGGAAAGTAGAAATCATTTATATTGAGCACATCTAAGAATTATCATATCAAATTAAAGGTCGTTTTCTCGTCCTTTTAAGAGAGTATGTAAATTTGATATGATATTTCTCATGCACTTTCCACAGATCGAGTTCCATGTCCTCGTTATGTGATTTTTGTCCAAGTCGCAACAGAAGAATCAGAAAATTTTACAAGAGGGGGCAAGGAATTCAAAATTCACACCAAGTTAGGCAATGCAATAAAATAATGGATCAATACATGAGGAATAAAAAGGATAACGGGGAACGAATTTATGTTATACTAACTTTATTTTAAGTCTAAATACAATCCAAAGCAAGTATAATACGATTCTCCGTGGCTCCAACACTACCAAATGGGAACACTAAAAGATGCCTACATATATATCAAAGTGCAGAAGGGCCTAACTTTTCTCCTATTAGTACTATACGTATTCTCACATTCAGAACAATTGAAACTTGGTTTAAACCTACCTGTTAGGTGTATGTGCAAAGGTCAATTGGCTCTCACATTAATTCAAACATCTCTAGCTTTGGCTAATGCTATTTGAATAGCATTACATTTACATAAGTATTTTTCTGTCAAATTTAAAAATAAGCCACAGGAAGTAGCATCATTTTAATTATCAGCTTAACCCACTTGTGTAAATTGAGACTATAAAGAATGATGTAATAGGAAATTATGTGAAAACATCATTTCTATTTTGGCAACTAAATAGAACTGCAGTTTTGAAAGGTCAGAGAATGGTTTTCAACATCATATAGGCGAGTAACTCGTAGTCTAAGCGGTTTACAATGGTACTCATCTCATTTAGAATGTGATTTATTATTATTTTTTTCTTTATCTTCGGAATGTCAAAATTGGTAACATTGACGGAAATCTCTATAAATAGAAGAAATCTCTGGTTAGCTTCATGCATCGCCAAACTTTCCTTAATCTCCACTTCATTTTCATTTTCCATTCTGTCTTATATGGCGCTTTATATTTACTGTCGTATTCTTGTTACCACCTTGCTTTTCATGCAAGCTTTGGCAGATACTTCATGCAGAGATTGTTTTATTCATTCTCGGGCAGCATATTACCCAAATTCTGAAGAACATGGGACAGATGGTAAGAAAACTGAAAGAAGGATAACAAAAAAAATCAACTGAGAATTTTGAACATGTGTTCTCTCATTTATATATATATATATATGCTTTCTTTGAATTCATTGCAGTAGGTGCATGTGGTTTTGGTTCCTTTGGTGCTACAGTCAATGGCGGGGACGTATCAGCTGCATCGAATCTTTATCGAAACGGTGTTGGCTGTGGCGCTTGTTACCAGGTAGTACCTAATTTCTGATCAAGTTAATTAGTATTACTACGTTTGAAGAGAAATTCTAATAAAATTTATGTGTCACTACGGAAAAAAAAATACTATCATTTAAAATTACACAAGTTGTGTACTTTTAGATGATTTATACAAAGTATGACCAGTCATACTTTGTGTAAATCTATGAAGCTTCTTTTTTTTTCTCTCTCCTTAGCCACATCGCTGACATGTAAAGTGAAAAAAAATAACTTTTCAGAATTACACCGAGTATAATCGGTCTGTGTAAGTCACTAAAAGGACACAACACGTGTCCTTCTGAATTAGACACGCTAAACCCAAAATTTATGTGTCACTAGACTATACATTGTGGTTCTATATGTGCCGTAAACTTATTTTGCATGTTTTCAAAAGAGAAAAGGAAACGATTGTGCGTATTTTCTGAAGAAAGTAATGATTTGATTAATACTTTTTTTTTTTTTTTGTAAATAAGATTTGATTAATACTTAACCTATAAGTGAATCTCACTCTTGCACATATATGTACTAGCATTTTTTTTGTTTGGTTTATTTCTGTCATTTGGTCATTGACATTTTACACACGTAATTCTTCAAGAGCACTTTGTAACTTAATAAAAGTACTATACATCCAAAGGTTGAAAGTGATTTATTAAAACTTATTATGCTTTACTTTTTGTCAACAATGAACAGGTGAGGTGTACCAACAGTGCCTATTGCTCAGACAAGGGTGCAACCGTAGTTATAACTGATCAAGGTTCAAGTGATAACACTGATTTCATTCTTAGCAAACGTGCCTTTGGTCGGATGGCTCAGACCACTGATGCAGCTGCTTCTCTATTAGGCCTTGGCGTGGTTGATATTGAATATAGACGGTAAGATAGAACCCTGATCATCTAACTCATTGCCTGTTAAAAACCTTCCTCAATACATATTAAAGCATCAATATTTGGCTTTTTGTTATTATGTAAAACTGCAAGTATTCCAGAAATTAAAGACTTAATTGATGGTTTGGTTCCCTTTTTCTATCTCTCTCCAGTGTTGCATGCAGCTATCCTTACAAAAACATAACATTCAAGATAGATGAGAGCAGCAACAACCCTTATTACTTGGCTTTTGTCATATGGTATCAACAAGGTAGCAGAGACATAACTGCTGTGCAGCTCTGTGAGGTATTACATATCTGCTAATTCCTTCTCTTGAGATAAGTTGCAATTCTGTTAAATCTTTTGGCCAAATTAAATCAAAATTTGTAATCAGATAATTTTAGTAGTAAGGACGTAATTAAAATTTGAGCCATTAGGATTGATCTAGTGGTGAGGGGTATGGATAGGTTATATTAGGTTATGTGTTTAATTCCCACTTGTATCAAAAAAATAAAAATAAAAATTGAGTACTCAAGATATCATACTCAATTGTATGAAACAATCATGGTTTTTGACTAAAGAATAATTGATTTTTATATTGAAATCACTACTCACTAGATAGAGATCCTTAATTCGCTCAACTCTGAAAAATGTCAATTAGCACTATTAGTAGGGTGAAAAGCATTATAGATAGCCAAACCGTTCACGTTAGGAAACATTACTAGTGCATCAGCATTGATAATTAATGACCGTAATCTCTTTTAATCTGTGCAGACTCAGAACTTTGTCTGCAAGTTACTGGACAGGAGTCATGGGGCAGTCTGGACATCTACCACTCCACCGAGTGGCCCATTGTCTGTAAGGATGTTGTTTAGTGATGAAGAAAATGAAGAAGAAACATGGGTTGTTCCTGTTAATAACATACCCCAAAACTGGAAGGCTGGTGAAACATACGACTCAGGGGTACAAGTGAACCTTTAGAGAAGCAGCAAAATTTGATTCATTAATTTTCCATGACCATTTCATGAAATATTTACATTTATCCCCCTCTTCTATGATATTGTTTTTCTCTTAATAAGTAGTGATGTTGATGGCATATACATTCTATGCATGTCGCCCGACTCCAATGTATTAAAGTAATTATTTTACATTTTTAAATCTCTAATCATATAAACTTAATTACAATGTTGAAACCTCTAGACAGATCAGTTATTTTTCATTTGTTATTGAAGCTATAGAGTATCATCAGTACCTTGAGATCAGAATTAACCTCTTTAAAGAGAGGTTGTGAAAAACTAATTAGAGATAACAAATGGCTTGTGTTTTTTTATAAAGGTTAAAATATACACGTAAGGTCCTATAATTTCTTTCAAACAAGCTCTAATGGTTCCGGAATAAATATGGCACCCGTACAACAACTATAAAAGGGGAGAATACAATCAACTTTGCTAAAATAATAAACAGCTCAACTGAAAAAAGTTATTGCCAACTAAGAATTTTTTTTTTTTACTCAATCGTCAGTTTTTAATTAGGAGTACAGGAATCGGAAAAGGAGACAGAATATTTGATTCTCCAATGGCCAATGACAAAAGCCCAGATTGTTGTTGACCTGTCCAAGTGAATTGTCTTTACGACTTATGAGGGTGTTTACAAAAAAGTTAGCCAGCCCAATATATTTACTGGGCCAAGTGAGCCAGATTGTTGGCTGGACAAAATTAAGCCTAACCTGTGAAAATGTTCAAGTCAAATGGGCCAGTCAATTCAGCCAGACCCAATGCAACAGCCGTAAGAGTTTTCTGTTTTGTTATTTTCTTTTGGAAGACATTTGGTACAAGGAATTTTTTTAGATTCATGAAAGAGTGACTTTGAGAATTTTATTTATCCATGTTTGGTATAAAAATTGTGAAAATTTTCCGGAAAATCTGATTTTCCCATAATTCTAATTCGTGAACATTGGGGTGATATTCTTGGATTTCCGAGAGGTGGAAAAATATTTTGGCCTCCCCGCCACTAGCGCCCAGCAAAATTCCTTCCTGCGCTAATAGCGCGATGATGGCGCCACCCTACATTCCCGGTAATATTCGACGTTCAACCAAACATAGAATTAGAAAATATTTTGACCTATCAAACAGTTTTTTGATCACATTCCCAAGAAATTCACTTTCCTAACATATTCCTGGTAATCATGATTTCGAGGCATAAAAATTTTTATCCTCTACTAAACACCTCCTTGAGGAAATTTTCATTTCACCTCAGCGTTGTCTTCTTTTGGTCAAATAAACAACTCATATATATATATATATATATATATATATATATATATATATATCGTTTCTCAAGTTGCTTGAGATAATTTAATCTCCGACTACTAAATCATAATCGTACAAAGATGGATCAATGGTGATAAAGGAAGAGAGAGAAAAAAAGAGAATCCTAACCATATTAATATAAGAAAATAAATAAATAAAACGACGTAGTTTTGGAGTGGCCAGAGATAAATTTATCTCAAGTTGCCGGAGAAATATTTTTCCATATATATATATATATATATATATATATATATATATATATATAGTTATATAGTTATACAGTTGTCGTAATCCAACTAAGCTCTAACTTGCTAGATGCCAACATTGTCAGCAGTTTGTCTAATATGTGTATAATTGATCAGATATAAGATTATTTAATTCAGTCGACTAATGCAATAGCTTGTGAATGTGTGTTGTATCTCCATATGGAATAAATCTTTGGTATTCATATGGAATAAATCTTTGGTATCTCCAAAGATTTATTCCTCCATATGCATGTATGAGCATCTCTAGCAGGCTTTTAACAATGATGATAAAGAAAGTGAATTAATAAATGTTTATATTTCCAATAAAATAACTAATAATGAATAGCCAACTAATCAACCAACCAACTGAATTAATATTAGTTCTTCCCCTTGTTTTCTCTAAATTTTCTCATATAATGCTGTTAAAAGTCTAACACTAATGAACCTTTACAGATCTGAGGCACGTACATTTCAAAACAAATAGTATGATGCAGAAAGATACAAAACTTCGAGATAAGGCACATTCAGCAAGAACATCCACCCGACTGAGGTTGAGATTCATGACCACCAGAAGATCTTAGGTTCACGTCAACCATATCTTCTTGTTTTGTGGAAGATAGTGTTTCCATTCCAGGTAATGCCGCAGCAATTTTTCGAAAGAGGGCCTAAATACATGTTTGACAAAGCAATACACCATAAGCCAGAACCAGATAATATGTACAATCTAAAGTTATATGCAAGCAAATGAAAGTAATCCTGTAAGGGAAACAGTTGGCTTTCTGAAAGTCATACACAACTGCAACGAGTTTATCTCCATCATACAGGAAGCTATTTTGGGGAAAATTTTAATTTGACTAGTAGAAACAACCAACTGTTGTAAGCATTCTGCAATATCTCATTAGGAAATGACACCTACCACAATAATTTAAATGGATGCGATCTACTATCCCACATTGGAACCATTTCCAATATCTCACCCAAGATAATGCAAGAGCTATATAGTTAACGATGCAAGAAAATTTTATTCAACTATTCCTAACAAGTTTAATCAGAAAGAGAAAAATATAAGCACACAGGACGCAATGAGCATATAATTGTTCTTAATCATTACAGGTCGATGGTAAATAAGCAAGTTATTGCATAATTATCGGAAAAGAAGGGGGAGGCTTACCTTTATATTAAAGCCAGCTTTTGCACTAGCTTCAATAAACATGACGTTTAGCTCACGAGACTTAGCTTCCCCTTCCTCTGTAGAGACTTGCCTATAAACTCATGCAAAGGATATTCTCATAAATAAAAGGCAACACCAGCAATGAGCAGCTGAATGAAAACTCAAAAGAACATTTATACAAGACATCAAAACAACAGTGCAGAGCACACTTGGAACATTTCATGGGCCAAACAATTCAAGAAACTAAAGCCTAGGAGCAGATCTAACTCCCACTTTCATAGGACAATCACATCATCTAGGGCTCTGCTAATTCCTAAGACTTTATCTTGTATAGTATAGTAACAGTGACCAGCAGACTCGTTATTAAAAATAAAGCAACATTCTTTGAGCACTGGTTAGGACATAAGAAAATGAAGCATTTTCAGAGTTCACCAAATCAGGAAACAACATTTATTTTATAACTAGTGTTTAGATAGAATTTTTTTTGCAAAAAAGAAAAAAAAATCAGATTTTAGCAGTTTTTCCAGACAATTAAAGTAAAGCAGCCACGCTGAAAGGACAGAAGGCAATATTGGATAAAATTTGTGAATAGTTTTTTTGCTGTCCCTCTTCCCTAATCCCCCAGTGTAAGAACCCGCACCGTTAATTAAGGAATTTAATAAATAAATTATGAGAAAATAGGAAATGATTCCATAATTGACCCTAATAATTATTATGAGGCTTTAATAATCATAGTAAGTGAATAATAATGCTAAAAGTCATTTTTCGGAAGAAAAGTGCAGATACCGGTTCTGCTAGTTGATATAAATGCGTACCGAAAAAGTATCCCGGAAAATTATAATAAGTGTATGAAAATTACTAGAATGATATGTAAGACTTGTAAAACGAGTTTCAAGTCCAGATAATGAGAACTGGTGCTAAAAACCGGTACTGGCTTGGAAAAGCGCGTACCGAAAAGGTGCTCAGAAAATTACGAAAAAAATATGATAATTCTTAGAAAAATGTCTAGTTTCAGAATCCAAAGTTTGGGATTAAAATGCTTAGCGTAGCAATTAAAGTTAATACTGTGTGTTTAAGTGCGTTTGGGCTATAAATTCCCTTTTAAGGGCACATAACCCTAGAAAACTGTCTCTATACGTGAGTGTCTTGTGGTGGCTGATCAGTTTTACTCTGTGTTGGTGCTCTCTTCCCTTGTGTGAGCCTTGTGACCTTCTACCTCCATGTTACCTCTTCCGAAACACTTGGGCTTGAGGGTGTGAATCTTGTGAGCAGAAAAGAGTCATCTTTCTGAGTTTATGAGTTGCTGTTTGTGAGGTTCTTGCTCTGAGTTGGAGAGTTTGGAGGGGAGTCATCTTGTTCTTGGTGGTTTAAAGCTCCAAGTAGCTTCCTTGGTGAGGAAAGGACTCATCTTGTTGGTCCATTTCGTGCACCTTGTTGAGTCAGTCTTGAGGGGCTGATTGTGAGCTCCAAAGAGCAACCTCTTCTTCAGTTTTGAGCTGGGGTATGTGTACCAACCTTTGATCTTGAGTTTAATGCTTAAAAATGAAAGCTTGATGCATGTTAAGGCTTAAAGCTGATAACTTGTTGTTGGGTAATGTTGAACACACCTAGAAATGCATGTTTAGGTGCTTAAAATCGTTAAAAACCCAACCTTGGAAGGATATCTTCACGAAATGCATTTTCTGCATTCTTTCGTGAAATATCCGGATATGTGATATCCGGATATGGGTTTTGAGTATCCGGATAATAGATATCCGGATATGGGATTCTGGATATCCGGATATTGCATATCCGGATATGTCCAGTGAGATATCCGGATATTGCATATCCGGATATGGTCCCGAGGAATATTCGGATATTCTGGGATTTCGCAGAACAGTAGCTGTGTTGTGTGTACAGTAGGCTATTAGGGGTTTGTGGACCCTAGATTGATGAAGCTGAACTTCTGTAATTAATGATTTAAGTCAGAATCGTTGTGATTATGGACTTATGGCTTGGTATGGAGCCTTAAGACGTAAAACGTAAGGAAAGGCGTTGTCTTTAAGTTATATGCATGTGGTACATGTTTATTAATATAATGTTGGTCCATAACAGATTGTGAATCTGCTGTGTTTGGACGTTGAGCTGTGGACTCTTGGTTATTGGATAGCTAGCTTGCGAGGTAAGCTTTCGTGTCCTCGGTTTAGCCATGTTGTGGTTCCACCATGTCCAATGGGGGTATGGTTTATGCATGCTGTGTACATGCTTTTGGATATTTGATATGTTGATTGAACTTTACATGTAATGGCTTTTAATATGCATGTGTTGTTTCATCTTGACGGGAAGCCTGAGTATGTAGCGTCATACAAGACGGTGTACCGGGGTGAATGCAAGTGGTACTTGCACGGTGTGTAGGTGATAGACGTATACCTGCACTGTCTCTGGCCAGTAGATTAGTATTGACACACATGGCATGATTATCTGCTGCATTGCATTGTTTTAGAAATGATAAATGATAAACTGCTTTTGAACTTATATTGCACATGTAAGTGAGCTTGGGGTGGAAGATCATTGAGGACTCACTGACTTACTGAGATTTCTAGATTAGAGATTTTACCCCACGTTTGGGGAATGCTTATTTCAGGATCAGGTAGTATGGGTACTGATGCCTCAGGCGGCAGGAGGCCGGAGCTTAGCTGATTATGTTGTTTCTGCTTATTTGTTAGCATGACTGGAAATTTGATGCTGATTATGTTTTATGCCTTTTATCATTATGTTGTTGTTGAGACTGATGTTGGGCATGTTGCCTTATTTGAGTGAGCATGGGGATTGTCCATGACACTTTCTGTTAGTACTTTTAGATTGGAGTTGTAGAAACTGTTAGATGGTCCGGTCTACATTGTTGTAGTTCCATGACTAGAGCCACACTTATATTATCTATGTTATGAGGTATTTCAGTTAGCTGTTTTATTGCAATTACATACAGGCGATGTTTTATTAATTGATTATTAAGCAAGTTGGTAATGTTAATGACATCATAATTGAAAAGAAAAAGTAATTCCGCATTTTTAATTAAGCGCAGCTTAATACAATATTATGATAACATTCCCGGATATATACGGGGTGTTACACCCAGCCCCATGTGTCTCTTATGCTCACATATCCGATAATAAATATATTTAAGAAGAAATGGCTGAAAATGCCCTAAAAATGATAAATTAATAATTAATCAAAATCAAAGAGGTACATTGAAAACAAAAGAACCATGCCATGAAACAGGCCAGTATAAGCCATCTGATGAAGTCATTCTACCATTGATTAGCTATTACCTCTTATCCACAAGGTCAGTTTTGTTCCCAACAAGAACAATAATAACATCACTGCCTCTCTCACTGCGCACCTCTTCAATCCACTTTGATGTGTTTAGGAAAGTGTGACGGCCTATATCATAAGAAAACTGAATATAATCAGAATGCAACCTTCAAAGTCTTCTGGGTAAATACCCAAAAAATTATGCACAGATGATTGAAATCATCAAGAGAGATCCAAGAAGGTAACTACGGTTAATAGGCTGCAACTGTTAGAGATGATTACTTGCAGAGAAAGTTTTGGTTTATGACAATGTTTCAGTTAATTGACACAGGTAACTCCAGACTATGAGGGACAAGTCATGTTCCCCGGGTTTTACGCGTCCTTGTATTCAGTCATTGTAATGTAATCTATACTCAAAAATACAATGCAGGAGGGGAGGAATTGTGCTTCCTGCGATGTAAAAAATGAACATTTTGCTTCTATCCAAAATAAAAACAAACGAGTCATTAATCTAAGGTTAGAATATTAAAAACTTTTCTTATGCTACAGATTCACTTGAGAAAATCTGCTTAACTATTATTTATTATAATGCAAAAGCAACAAAAAGAAAAGAATAGGTGAAATTAAACATCCTAAATGGCATACTTGCAACATCATAAACAATGACAGCAACAGACGAGTCCCTAATGTAGCTTGGAATAAGACTTCTGAATCTTTCCTGTCCAGCTGTATCCCTGTCGCCACATGTCATGCACATGAAAAAAAAAAATAAAGGTTTTGAAGGAAAAAGAAATTAAAAAATAATATTAATTGCTGAAGGAATTGACTAATGCCAATTTATGGAACCTAAAAATTGCAATTAAACACATCAAACTTCATGGACCTCACCCTGATTAACCAATATGCAGCAGTTTTTGAACACATGAAGTAGGGCATAAAGCTAAACAAGATACAAATAGGAAAGTTCTATTTTAGAGTACTTGAAATTGTCTGAGAGAATTCCTCTCAGCCTCTATGAATTTATATTTAAATCTTATTGCAATTCAAATCCCTAATAAAATATAACTCCTAAATTGATGGAAAGAGATAAGGATAATATCCATAACGACTAACAGTTAAAACCACCATATGCTGCAGATTAGAAGATGTCTAAATACTAGAAGCATCATGTTTAGCATTAAATCCATCAACTTCAAAAACCAGTTTTTATGCTTTAAATCAAAATCCAGATGAACACATTAGAGCAGAATAATTAAGAATAGTTAAAAGCCACTGCAAACGGACATTGTAGAGAGATTAAAAGGTATGAGATAACATCAAAGGATTTCAATACCAAATTGATAGGATTTTCAAAAAGAGAATGAAAGAACTTCGATGCTAGCATTCAAAAAATATCACGTACTCAAAGGCCACTCTGAGCATACCAAATAAATCTTTGAAATAGAAAATATGAAAAATGAATCTAATCAAGGATAAACATGACAAATATTAAATTATGATGTATTTATTAATGAATGAGAGTATAAAGGGAAAGGAGAGTGCTCCCTCACTTGCATGGAAGTTCAGTTTTTTAAAGATGGGAGGGAATCAAGAGTACCCAATATCAACCCATATCTTCCCAATAGGCAATTGTTACATCCTTAGTATATTGCTAAAGCAGAAATATATTTTGTTCTCGAAAAGCTTTATAAGATTCCAAAATTTAGTATTCCAATATCTATTTATATTCAATAAAGAAGAGCAAAATGAGATTGTAACAGTAATAGCATTAACACTCCTCTTCCCCCTTTCATTTAAAATTACCAAACAATGGTAGGGAAGCTACCCCACCCCTCCTTCACCTCCCATTCTTTTCACTAATACCATTCTTTTCCCTTCCTGATAGAATTCCCAAAATGATCATGCCACATCTTACCACAACTGCAGCCGAACAGTTCGATCTTCAAGATACATAGTTTTTGATAGAAAATCAATACCGATTGTGGCCTGTTTGAACAATTAAAAACAATAAGTTTGAGTACAAGCAAAAGATTAAAAAATATAATCCATTTTGAAAATGCATCTGGTGCAAATATGCAAGCACATTATGCTTATAAGACAACCTAGTTGAAAGATACCTTATAGTGCAGACACGCATGTGCACAAATAAGGAAACAAAGAATGAAAATTACTTATATAACCCAGATTGATATATGCATAGCAAGTTAGTAATATGTATGCTATAATCAAGTTGAAAGAATGGATCACACTGACAAATAATGTTTAAATATATTACTTGCTAATTATGATTTGACTTTGCAGGTAGAAAAGGAAGTAAAGACAGGAGAATGCAAATATTGTTTTGCATCATTACAAAATGAAGCAAAGAAAAAGAACCAATGTACAAAAAAAGAAAAAGACCAAAATTATCAAAGAAAATTTTCAAATGGATCCTATTCTCATCCTTACATAAAATGTACGAAAAGGCAACCCAAGCAATAATAGGTATTTTGCTGTTAAAACTTCAGTAATAGTTCGAATAATAGGTATTTTTCAAGATATAAGTTACAGAAGTTAAATCAGAAGGTCACATTACCCCCTTATTAAAAAAAAAATCAGAAAAAATCAGAAGTGCTTGAGATATAAAGCCATTCATGAACTTCGATTGTTATAACGTAATAGTTGGTTCTTTGACATGGTATTAGAAACTTTAGGGAGTTCAATCAGTACTACCTTATTCATTCAAATAAAGTTGAATTGGGAATGATAGAGATGTAAAGAGTAAAAGCTTAAGCTTTTTGGAAAGTTGATTCATTGATAATGAGCTAGTCATAAAATGAGAATGGAGGTTTGTTTCCCGTATGCGTGAAGTATGTTGATCTGACGATGACAAGGGAGGCAGTGTTATGGACCAACGCTCTTGAGTGTCACCGTATTGGCCTCAAGCTAGCTAAGAGTGAAGGGAGGAGGTCAGGAGGTGTTTGGACTCGGTTGTAGCTGAGAAGTGAATTTGGCAGAGTGACAATAAACTTACGTGATGGAGAAGAATCAGAAGATGATGTGCTTAGTGAAATTGAAACCTCTACTTATAAGGTAGAGGAGATTCCCTCAAAGCATGGGAAGTGTGATATTATAACCATTTTGCTCTGTGGGCCCCACTATAGTGTAAGGCTGCACAACGCTTGACGTGTAAAGATCATGCGTGTGTATGGAAAATGTGAGGGAACACATGTATATGGAAGTCATGTGCTTCACGTGTTATGTGATTGTGGCCTTGGGCTAGCCCGGCAAGGCCATCCAGCCGCTCCAAAACAGATAAAAAGGTCACATTTTCCATCCACGTTAGAGGCTAAGAAGTTAGAACCCAAGACGCAAATTATTTTCTCTCCCTAATGTATAAAATCAATTTTTCGTTCGAAATAAGACCCACAATCTAAATTAGCATTATAATTCATAGTTGACAAAATGTCGTCAATTATTGCAAACTCAAAACCCGTGATCCCCCACAGGAAAACCGTGATCTGTTTAACCTCCTTCTCAAAACCAAAAATTAACAAATTAAAAAAAGCATAAATTGAATCTGAAATACGATTCAGATCGATCATTATAATGGTCAGCATAGAAATTAACTAAGGTACAGCATTTGTTATCCTTTTTTATTTTATTTTCCCCCATGATCAAAACAAATACATTAAAACTTGGAACTGCCCGAGAAAGTGGATCTGATTGTGAAGAGAAAAGAATACCTGATAAGTGTTATCAAATTTATCGTACATGAAGCGAGTGATGATGCTGGTTTTGCCCACAGACTGATCACCCAAGAACACCAACTTGTACTTTGCAAGAGCTGACACTGGCGCCATTTTCACAATATCACTGATACTCAACAAAACTCAGCAAAACGCCGCTCCTGATTCAGATTTCCTCATTTCTCTGAACCATGCCAAAATTATTTTTATTAATATAATTTAGCCACTTTTTATTTGGGTACTAGTACTACTACAATAAAAACTCTCTCTGTACAGTTGAATTTATTATTATTATTAATTTTTTTGAAAGAAGGTATAAATTACTGGATTTCAAATTTAGGAATTGTATTTTTTTTTCCTCTCCGAATATAAATACAGTAGAATTTTTCACTTAAACAAATAAGTATAGTAATGATCCAATTAGGCTGACCTGTCATTCAGTCTTTTAGATATCAATATGAGCATAGCATATCGATTTCAAGTTATAAAATCCATTCGTTTAATTTTATGTTGTAATTACATCGATGCAATTTATAAGTAGTCATTTTGATTAGATTCCACTATTGAAAAAAAAAAAAATTAAATAGCATATAAGTCGGTAAATTTACAATTATACCATGTTTAAATTAGTGGTTAATAGATCAAGCCAGCCAATATAATATTCTTACTCAGAAAACAATAGGAGATAAAAGGATTCTTTTACAAGGTCGGTTAATAAAGCATATATAGGTATCTCTACTCTCTCTCTCTCTCTCTCTCGCTTAATATGTATCTCGTTATGGTCGGAAGACTGCAGAAAATATAACCTTTCATCACGAGTTAATTAGGAAGTAATTACACACTAAAATCCATATCACATTTTAATTCAAAATTTTAGGTGATAGGTTTATGAGCACATGTACATCTTTTGCAGGTTTGGTCAACTATGTCATTGGGTATTGCCCTTGTTCCAAGAGGGATTGTAGTGACAAACAAGAATAAAAGACAGAAAGCCAAACACAAAAAGAAGACTGCAACATTGTTTCTTTGGTATAATTAAAGAGGCAAGTGTAGATTTATAATGAGAATGCATGACTCGTATAGGTGTAGGATTTCATCAATTAAGAAGTACTTCTGCAACCTTAATAGCTTTTTATTGCTTATCCTTTCAATTTTTCAATCCATACGGACCATAATAAGACAACACTGTTTTATTTTTTACATATTGTTACATAAGGTAATCGTATATATAAGTTTTGTATTGAGTATAAAAAGTAAGGATTATTGACGCTTTGATGAGAAGGATTTTAACCGAGGAAACTTTCAAACAAGGCAACACAAATTCACCACCAAGAACCAAAGGACATGGAGAAAAGTATACCTCAACATGAGGCGAGTTAATCAGTTTGCCAACAATATACTGTGTATTTAGAGTACGAGTAATGTTAAATGTTTCAAAAATTATTACAGCCAAAAGGCGAAATGTCTGCTTAAATTTAGATAACATCATGTCTGCTTAAATTTAGATAACATCATGTCTGCCAACAATATCAACCAACACGAACTCATGACAATTAGGTGAGGTGCTAACTCTCCTTCTATAAATTGATTCAAATTATAACTAAACACAACCCTTTTAGCTGGCCCGGCCAACCCAAACCATGACCGGACTCCAAGATTTCCATATCTATTCTTCTTTTCAACTATTTTGGGCCATGATAGCCCATTTGGGTTTAGTTCAAACCAACGAGACAAATTATGAAAATAATCTGATAGGCTGGACTATGAAAACCTGAGTCCAATGTCCGAATAGCTTAACACACTGGTATGGTCCTTCTCGTTGAAAAGTATTCAGCATTTTTCGTGTACACATTGGATAATTTCTTATTTAAGGTCCTTAATATTAATTTCAACAGCTAAAGAAATTATAATATGACAAATAAATTTAGAATGTGAGGCGTAGCACAATTCATGCGAAAAAATGCAAATTCGTGGATAGTTAGATGGAGCACAACTTAAATGAAAGGCATGATAACCGAACGTTCCCAACATATAGTTTTAGGCAAATATGTCACGTAAATATGCAATCACCGATTGATACCGATGAAGGCAGAATATCTGGCAGATATACCTTGATATGCACTCTTGATCAATAAGAGTTTTTTTGGTTGTCGTATATTTTGTGCAAGGGTTAATGCTAAGGACACATATCCGCAACAACTGGACTCGGTCTCCGCCGGCCATTGATTTGAAGCCTTGTTTTTGTGTGTATATGACTGGAAAGTGTTGGCAGGAGGTACAGTTGCGGTAGCTGAATGTTCCCAATAAATTAAAACAGAAACAAAAGTCAATCCAAATGAACTTAAACTTGACACATTTTTAGGGTACAATGAAAATAATTCAACGTTAATTTGGGCAACTTTACTACATTAGTACTATCTCAGGCATAACCAACAACAGAATTTTTCTAGACAGAACTTTTTTCAACCCCTACCCCGCACCGTTTATCTATTCTTTGACCTTTACAAATAATGCTGTAGAAATCTATAGAGAAACCTGCATAAAACTAAAAGCACGACAAAAAAACACGAGCACAAGACAAAGGACATTCAACAAGCACATCCACTTGAGGGAGGTTGAGATTGAGCACTGCCAGTTGACGACTTCAAGTTTACATCAACCATGTCTTCTTGTTTTGCAGAAGATAGTGTTTCCATTCCAGGTAATGCAGCAGCAATTTTTCGGAAGAGGGCCTGTGCAAATTTCCAACAAAGAAACACCCAGTAAGTGGAAAGCAAGAAAAGTATTAGAACTAAATAAGAATCTCAGAAGTTATTTCCAGGATAGAGAAGAAAAAGATGGTACAGAAGAATCACATGTTGAGACAAAATTGATTAATGCAAGCATTTTGAAGTTAACTAGGTAAAAGAGCACTACTGGCCTGAAAATGATCAGAACCGTAAAAAGTAGATCAACAATATTCAGAGGCCCAAATTTAGGTAACATACAGTGGGTTGATTAGTAGAAAAGTAACTGGAAACGTAATATAAACCTCATTGAAAAATGTCTGCCAAGAGGATGTCAGACATATGAGGTTTAGTTAAGAAGATTTTAATCACCATTCCTTCAATGTTGTTCATAAATACATACATACAGATAGAGTCCCATCATCATAATTTTGAATAATTTATTTCACTCTAGTGGGAAACAGAGAATTTACTGAAGATGTATGGAGAGAAAAAGAGGGAATTCAACTTACCTTTATATTGAACCCAGCTTTGGCACTAGTTTCAATAAACATGACATTGAGCTCACCTGCTTTTGCTTCCCCTTCCTCTATAGACACTTGTCTGCAGACTCACAAATAAGGTAGCTAGTAAAACAAAACAGAGTGAATTTCTGATAGTAACACCAGCACATCTCCGCAATAATACAGCAAGAACATGGATACGACTTGTATTAGGAGGTAAAGAATATTCCTTAGGTAGGTAGTTAGGAGATGATTAGTTAGTTAGGTGGATTGGTTTTGTTTGCATAAAAAAAGGGGAGGGGGGGGGGGGGGGTGTCCGTACTATTAGTTTTGGTATTTTCTGAATATAGGCTGAGAGTGCTCAGTTTGAAGGGTAGTGTCCGTTGGCCAGAGAAGTGTCTCTTGTGTGTAGTTTTGTTTCTTTTCTCATCAATAAACAAATCCTATCTTCTTCCATTTCCATTTGTTTCTTTGTTCTTCCTTTCTATAATACCAATTCCAATTTCTAAAGAAACCACAGCTGTAACAAACATCCTATGCAAATAAAACATCCTTACAATTCAGTTGCAAGGTATGAGACTTGGAGTCCTACATCGGAAACATAAGGTTCTGGTGTGGGGTTTATATGGACTTAGGGCTCTTCTACCTTACGAGCTAGCTTTTGGGATGAGGTTCTCTCAAGGTTCATATCAATTGGTATCAGAGCCTTCCATTATGTCTCCCAGTTGCAAATGAGCAGCGCCACTGGTGACGCTAGCATTTTAGTATTCGCCCATTGCTAGTAAAAAAAAACTACCACAAAGCCAGGCCGAGTGGGTGCCGGGCTGCGAAGCGTGGTGGAATGTTACAATTCAGTTGCAAGGTATGGAGTTGCAATCCCACATGTATAGGGTTTATATGAACTTTGGGCTCTCCTACCTTACGAGCTAGCTTTTAAGGTAAGGTTCATATCATACAGCAAGAACATAATTCGCAAATAAAATGTCCTTAAGGTTAAACTGACCAAAGCAGCTAAAGCCCAAATAAAACTGAGAACTCTTTCGTACAACTGGAACTAGATATAAGATTAACCTGCATGCTTTACATCTTTTAAGAGTTTAGACTTTAACCAGTAAATAACATCCTAATTCCTAAGTATGCCCTCTAAGATAGGCCAACTAGGCATAGTTCAAGTGTTGAACCAAGAATGGAAACAAGACCCTTTTAAACGAAGTATATGGCCAAGGATGGAGAAAATCTGCACGTTGACAATCATTGTAAGCATTGCATCAAACTACTGTCTACTAGAGAAAGCAAAAGGCCTAATTGTAAGCATTGGTGCATCCCATTCCAATGTTATGTGATCTTGCCTCAGTAGAAATGGCTTTTCATAGAACTTTTCCTACTCCAAATTGTTAGAGAATAATATAAATCATTAAAAAGCCCTTCACCAAACACTTTAAGGTTTTGGGTTGGAATGGTTCTTAACATGGTATCAAAGCTTCAGTGACCACAAGGTCACGAGTTCGATCTTCACCGTCCCCCCACTTGTGGAATTAAAATAAACACAAGGTAAAATAAAAAATTGGGCCAGTGTAATATCCATGCTTCAAGCCCAAAGAGCTCTTGCGTGAGGGGGTGTGTTCGAGAATAATATAAACCATTAAAAAGACATTCACCTAACACCTTAAGGTTTTGGGTTGAAGTAGTTCTTAACACAAATCAACAATTTCTTTCTTCTCTACAACTATAAGGATGCAGTGGAAAGTACTTAGTCCATACATGAAACGGGTAATGGGAATATATTTAAGAAGAAAAAAGGGGGAAGGAAAGAACCAAGAAAAATAAGCCAGCATAACCCGTCTGATAAAATCTGGAGAGATTTAGATTAAAATTTAAGAATTCTCAGTAAAAACAGTTCCAATTCAAGAACGATCAGCCAAACAAGTAGTTGATTGAATCAATATATGTAATTTGGTTAATTTTTCCTAAATTTGAATTATTTTTGCCAATAGTTCCCAATTTTGATTCACCCTAAAATCATTTTTCTCTTCATTATCCATTACCTCTTTTCAACAAGATCAGTTTTGTTCCCAACAAGAACGATAATGACATCACTGCCTCTCTCCGTTCGCACCTCTTCAATCCACTTTGTCGTGTTTAGGAAAGTCTGCCGGCCTATACAACAAGAATGCCAAATTTATCAGATAGCATTCTTGCCAGAGCTCTTAACAAACATTTAAGCCAACATATCATTCAAATCATGTAGAGAGAGATCATGAATAGAATTTAAATGCTATTGTTTGTGATAAAAGGTTTCACACTAAGAGTCGTGGAGGTTATTCACTTTATCATACTGCTACTTCCCTATTGTCCGAACAAAAAATGACATCCTGCTACAAAAGTTCATAGCATTTCAAATAATGTATAGTTCATAGGTTTACTGCCAAAATGTTTGAATAAATAAACAGTAAGAAGCTAAATTAGCAGCTTTGATCAGAACAATTACTGTTAAGAGGCAAAAGCTATATAAGATAGCATAAAATAGTGGGCAATAACAATAAAAGGTGAAAAGAAAACAAATCCCAAATGACGTACTTGCAACATCATATACAATAACAGCTACAGATGAGTCCCTAATATAGCTTGGAATAAGACTTCTAAATCTTTCCTGTCCAGCCGTATCCCTGTCAGAACACACAAAAAAAAAAAAAGGATGAGCAGTTTGAAAGTAAAATTCACCAATCAAAGAAAGGCACCAACAAAGAAACTAAATATTTAACAACTAAACATTTCCAACTTCAGTAAAACCCAAACGTGCACATCCAACATGGATATATTTTTAACATATCAAGAAACATGGATACTGAGGAAACACTCAAAACAAAGTACAGAAGGTAGAAGCATTGAATATGCATAGAAGTGTCATGTTAAGCAAAATCAAAAGAACGAGGATGATTAAAAGTTAATAGCAAAAAAGGAAAAATAAACAACCATCATAATGAGATACAAAAAGATATAAGATAGACAAGATGAAACTCAGCATATGATGTGAATAGTTGAAGTCAAATTGATTGTGAATTAAAGAAACAAGGCAAATACCGAGATTTCATATGTGTATAAATTGAGTAATCTAGAGGGAAGCAAACTCCTTTTTACCATAGTTTTATTATCTAATTTTAAGGAAGAGAAGAAACCAAAGGCCGGCTACTTAATCTCTCCCCTATACCGCAAATTTAAAACACAAATCCTTTTGCTTCTATTTGGGATGAGACAGGAGAAGTATACTTCATTTATGTCAGCAGAAGTAAAGTGAAAGCATTGAGACCTAGTGGAGATTTATACCCCACATTCAGGAGAAACAAAATTACACGGTCACTAAGTGTAGAAAATTAGAATTCAAACATGTTTCCGTTTTTATTTCCTATTAATTAGGATTGATTATGATTGATTAGGATTGATTAGGATTAATTGTGATTGATTAGAATTGATTGTGATTAGGATTGTGATAGGATTGATTAGTCATCGCTTAGTCATTCTTAGCGATTCTTTCTTGTATAAATACTCACTCATGTAATTTATTCAATATCAATATACAAAAACTTCTTTTCAATATGGTATCAGAGCGGGTTCGTTCCTACCCTAATTCAAATCTGAAATAACCATCCAAACACTTCCATCACCGTCAAACACCTCCTAAACACCGCCTTGAATCTGTCCAACACAGAAACCTAGTTTACTGACCTCCGATTAAAAAAGTGAGGTGACCATTCGACTCAGAAGGATCCGACGAGTCGACCGCCGCTGGACCCATCGCCGTCAGCCGCTGCACGCGCCACCACGCGCCGCCTTCCAGGCGTTTTTTTTCCGTCGCGACTTGCACAGACCTTCTCGCCGGCTTCTCCCCTTCCTGTTCCAGAGGTCAGATCAAAAGTTTACAAAACTTGATTTTTCATCAACGGTCAACCCTTCTCTTTTTATTCATGGCTTCCTCAAAACACTCTTTTTATTACCACGAGCAACCTCCTAAGGCCACTAGTCATGTGGTCCAGCAAGGTACAACTTTCCATGTTGATAGTCAAAATCATTGGATCCTTGATTCTTGAGCCTCTGATCATATGACAGGTAATCTTGGCTTGTTTTGTTCATACACTCCATATTCTGAACCTTCTCGGGTCAAGATCGCCGATGGCAGTTTTTCCCAGATTGCGGGACACGGAACCATTAAACTTTCTGAGCTGATTACTTTGACATTAGTTCTTTATGTTCCTTCTCTGACTTGTAATCTCATTTCCATTAGCAAGCTCACCTCTGAGTTGCATTGCTTTGCTAAATTCTTTCCACATGGTTGTGTTTTTCAGGAACAGGACTCGGAGAGGATGATTGGCAGTGCTAGAGAGGATGGTGGACTTTACTACTTTGAGGAGGATGTGACTCATGAAGCTGTTTTCGTAGAAAAAAACTCTATGTTTCCTTTTGATTCATGTAATGATGTTATGTTGTGGCATCGTAGGCTAGGCCACCCAAATTTTATTTATCTTCAGAAGTTGTTGCCAAACTTATTTATTAATAAAAGTCCAAGTTTGTTTTCTTGTGATATTTGTCAACTTGCCAAGCATACTCGTGCTCATTATCCTTCTAAAGTTCACCATGACTCTTCCCCATTTTCCTTAATTCATAGCGACATATGGGGTCCAGCCCGTGTTAAAAATATTTCAGGTACTCGATGGTTCATTACCTTCATTGATGACCATTCTCGAGTTTGTTGGGTGTATCTTCTAAAGGATAAGTCCGATGCTGCATCCGTGTTTAAAAAATTTCATGCCATGGTTCAAACCCAATTCCAAGTTGCTATACAAATTCTTCGTACAGATAATGGCAAAGAGTATTTTAACTCTATTCTTGGAGAATATCTTTCCCAACATGGCATCCTTCACCAAAGCTCGTGTCCTGACACACCCCAACAAAACGGAGTTGCGGAAAGAAAAAACCGACATCTCCTTGAAGTTGCTCGGGCTCTTATGTTTACCACGAGTGTTCCTAAATATCTTTGGGGAGAGGCAGTTCTCACTGCCTCGTATCTGATAAATCGAATGTCATCTCGCATTCTGAAATTTCAGTCTCCTCTTTCTAGTCTTGTTCGTATCTTCCCTTCCTTCCGAGGTGTCTCCTCCTTACCTCTCAAGTTATTTGGTTGTGTTGTATTTGTCCATATTCCCTCCCATCAACGGTCTAAGCTTGATCCTAAGTCTCTCCAGTGTGTCTTTATTGGTTATTCTCCTACTCAACGTGGCTATAAGTGTTATTCACCCTCTCTTCGTAAGGTCTTTGTCTCTATGGATGTCACTTTTTCTGAGAATGACCCTTTCTTCCCCTCGACTTCTCTTCAGGGGGAGTCTATAGGAGTAGATGAAGATCAGTCATGGGAACCTATTAATGCCACAGTATTACCTCTACTTTTGGAAACAGGGGGAGCTACAGAATCCTCACCATCAGGAGCCTCCTCAAAATGGGGACAAGTTTATAGCAGGCGAAAGCCTCCTCAAAGTGTGAATAACCCAGAGCCTCTACACTGCCAGGATTCTGAACCATGTTCTAGTTCCAGCACCCCAATACTTGAGTGTCATGGTGAAAATGATCTACACTTGCCCATTGCTCTCAGAAAAGGTACTCGATCTTGTACTACTCATCCTATTTCTAATCATATTTCATATGGAAAGTTGTCCCCAGGGTTTCGTGCTTTCAATACTATGTTGGATAGTACAAAGATACCGAGAAATATACATGAGGCTCTCAATGATAAAAAATGGAGGGATGCTGTCTTTGAAGAAATGAATGCTTTAGAAAGAAATGGAACTTGGGAGATAGTGACCCTACCCAAAGGAAAAAAGGCAGTAGGATGCAAATGGGTGTTTACAATAAAATTCAATGCAGATAATAGCATCAACAGATACAAGGCAAGATTGGTTGCAAAGGGTTTCACTCAGACTCATGGGATAGATTATCATGAGACTTTTGCTCCGGTTGCTAAAGTCAATACCATCCGAGTTCTCTTATCTCTTGCTGCCAATCTAGATTGGCCTCTGCAACAGTTAGATGTGAAGAATGCATTCCTAAATGGTGACTTACATGAAGAAGTCTATATGGATCCTCCACCTGGTTTTGAAAGGGGAAATGAATCAGTGTGTAAACTAAAAAAGTCTCTATATGGATTGAAACAGTCTCCCAGAGAATGATTCGACAAATTCACACAAGCAGTCAAAAGAAGAGGCTTCATTCAAGCACAGACTGATCATACTCTCTTCCACAAACACTCTAAGGATGGTAAAATTGCTATTCTTATTGTATATGTAGATGATATAATTCTTACAGGTGATGATATTGAGGAATTGAACACCTTGAAGAAATTTCTAGCAGCTCAATTTGAACTCAAAGACCTTGGCACTCTCAAATATTTCCTTGGTATGGAAGTTGCTAGGAGCAAAACAGGCATCACTCTAACACAAAAGAAATATGTTCTAGATCTTTTGTTGGAAACAGGAATGTTAGGGTGTAAACCTGCTGAGACACCTGTGGAACCTAATACCAAGTTAGGTATTGAAGATGGGAATGAGGTGGATAAAGAACAATATCAGCGATTGGTTGGTAAACTAATCTACTTATCTCATACGCGTCCTGACATTGCCTTTGCGGTGAGTATGATTAGTCAATTCATGCACTCACCCAAGGAGAAGCATCTTAGTGCAGTCTATAGGGTGCTTAGATACCTCAAGAATACTCCAGGAAGAGGATTATTCTTTAAAAAGGGGTATAAAAGGACAATTGAAATCTACACTGATGCAGATTGGGCAGGCTCATCAGTAGACAGAAGATCTACCTCAGGCTATTGCACCTATGTGTGGGGAAATCTTGTTACTTGGAGAAGCAAAAAGCAAACAGTGGTTGCAAGAAGTAGTGCTGAAGCAGAATTTCGAGCTTTAGCTCATGGAGTTTGTGAAGGAATTTGGTTGAGAAGACTTCTTCAAGAGTTGAAGATTTCATATTCCCTACCAATAAAACTATATTGTGACAACAAGGCAGCTGTTAGCATTGCTCAAAATCCTGTGCATCATGATCGAACAAAGCACGTGGAAGTTGATCGTCACTTCATCAAAGAAAAATTAGATGATGGAAGTGTGCATTTGATATATGTTCCAACCAAAGAGCAAACGGCAGATGTCCTTACCAAGGGCCTACACCGTCCAGCATTCGAAGACTTGATTGGCAAGTTGGGAATGATCAATATTTACCTCCCAACTTGAGGGGGAGTGTAGAAAATTAGAATTCAAACATGTTTCCGTTTTTATTTCCTATTAATTAGGATTGATTATGATTGATTAGGATTGATTATGATTGATTAGGATTAATTGTGATTGATTAGAATTGATTGTGATTAGGATTGTGATAGGATTGATTAGTCATCGCTTAGTCATTCTTAGCGATTCTTTCTTGTATAAATACTCACTCATGTAATTTATTCAATATCAATATACAAAAACTTCTTTTCAATACTAAGTAATTTCTCCCATCCTATTACTGCCAGTATTTAGTATATCCCAACGAAGGAAACTACCCCATCCCTGCTTTCTTCCCCTCCCAATCCCATTCTAAAACCCTTTCGTTTCCCTTCCATTTTATATTATGAGATCTTGGTCCCATATCTTACCACAACTGTAGTCGAACAGTACGATCTTCAAGATACATAGTTTTTGATAGAAAATCAATACCAATTGTAGCCTGTTTAAAGAAAAAAAAAAATCAGTTTGCGTTCAACAAAAATATATAAGTAAGACCAAGTTAAGGAAATGAAAGTATACACAACCAAATCTGCTGCATGCCAATTATGCTCAGAAGTTAATCTCAAGTTGAACTAACTTAACCGGATCATAAGCATACCATGCAAACACAAATGTGCATACACTGAGCACAAAAATGAAATCAAAAACTCCCAAAACAAAATTTGTGCACAACAACTCAGTAATATATTTATAATGATCAAATTAAAGGATTAATGAAAGATATGAAACAGGATTTGACCGCGAATACATTTTGTAATTTATTGGTGAGTTTCCATTAAGATAATAACTTAGTAGTCCTAGTTCTTAGTAGTGGGTCAGTAAATAGCTTGTGTTTATTAAAAAGTAGTCTAAAAGACGAAGGGGAACATAAGAATGGTCACGTTTCATAAGCTGAAACTATCATCAAATCTATAACATAGAGTTGAGTTCTTTCTTTGGTCTTTATAAATAATAATTATAATAACGGCTCAGCATAACAGCATAAATTTTTTATATGAAAAAACAAAACAAAAAACAATGGATCAAATCAAACACTGAAAAAACTGAAGGTTTTTGAAGTGGTTTTAGGAGGCAAGTTGGGAGTGATTGTTTTTGATTAAAGGAATAGAGATGTGGATCTGATTGTTAGAAGAGAAACCTGATAGGTGTTGTCGAATTTATCGTACATGAAGCGAGTGATTATGCTGGTCTTGCCCACAGACTGGTCACCCAAGAACACCAGCTTGTACTTTGCCAAAGCTGAAACCGGCGCCATTTGAAAATCACGAAACCAAAAAAGCAAAAAGAGGAGGAGGAGGAGGAATCAGAAGAAGCCGAGAAAAACCCCTCGCGTCTTCGGGGTTGATCTCGGATTCTCTCGGTAAGGGGACAAAGAAGAATTGGAGATTTATCAATTGCAATCTATATGCTATTTTATTTGCATGAGCGGAACCCAAAAATCAAATTTGCATTTTAAAAACAAAAAAATGATAACGCATTTGTTATTAAGAATAAAAAAATTAATTAAAAATAAGCGAAAACTTCAAAATCTGTAATATTTTTTTTGAATCACTTTATACCTTAGTATTGCTTTGAATCACTTGGACTTTTATTTTTTATTTTTTTTAATCATTTAATTCTCTGTAAAAATTTTATACATATTTCTCTTTAACACTGTTAAAAAATTAATTAAATATATTTATTTTATCTTTTTCAAAAGAAGAAAATAAAGCGGTAATAAATAAAATAAGGCCAAATGTAATAAAAAAAATTAGAACGCTTCTAAAAGAACCTAAATCAAAAGTGCTTAAATAAAAAAATGTATAAAAAAAAATTACAAAAAAAAGAAATCATAGTTATGAATTTCCAATATTTTTTCTATTTGCTTTTACTTCTTTTCATCTTTGATTTATTTATTCTTTATATTTAAATATTTTTGGTCTTTTTTGTATCTTTATTTTATTCTCTCACTCTTTTAATTTTTTTTTTACAAAAACCTTTAATAGATAAGATGGCACAAGACTAAAAAAAATAGAAGAAGAAAATTAGAATAAAATATATCAAAAAAGAAAAAAGAAAATAGAAAAAATACTAAATATATCTAAAAAAAATATTAGATCAAGGACAAAAAAATAAAAAAAATAAATATATTAAAAACTCATAATTGTGATTTCTTTTTATTTTATTTTTTTCTTCTAGTTTTTTTGTCTTCATTATATAATTTTTTTCATCTGCACTATTTTTATTTTTTTTATTTTTAGTCCTTACTGTCACTATTGTTATTTTTAATATATTTGATCTTATTTTTCTTCTATTTTATTTGGATAAATCACAAACAATTCTGTTAGGAGCGAGTCCAGTATTAAAACTTTAAGCCCTTCTAAAATATGGTACTTTGAAGATCGAACATATCTCTCACCACCACCTACTCAATTTTCATGTGTTTCTTCTATTTTTTTGCTCTTATTCTATTTTCTTTTTTTTATTTTGATACATTTTTTTATTTTTTATTTCTTTCTTTTAATCTTTTATTAAGTGTTCGAACTTTTTATAACATTTTGTCTTCTTTTTCTTTCTTTTTTATCACTTTATTTTTTCTTCTAAGAAGATAAAATATATATATATCTGATTAATTTTCTAACAGAATTAAGGAAAGGTGTGGTTATAAAAAATTATTGGAAATTAAGTGATTAAAAAAAAGACACAATGATACAAGTGATTCAAAATGATACCGCATGGGTATTTATTTTTTTGTTTTAGTTTTACTTTTTCCTAAAAATAAATCACATTTGTAGATAGGCGAAAAGTAGGGGTGTTAACGAGCCGAGCTTTGGTCTGAACGGGCCGATCCTGTGTTCAAATGTGTCAGACTGGTCTTAGCCTGTTACTGTTACGAATATAATATCAACCTGTGGCCTGGCTCATTTACAAAAAATAAAAGTCTTGTTTGGTCTGTTAGCCTGTTTAAAAAAAATAATACAACAAAAATTTATCCAAACAATATACAATCAACAGCACTAGTAATTCCATAAATATTCATAAATTTAATGTATATCCAAATAGCATAATATAAAACAAAATCATTTAAAAAGTCTGTTTAATTAATAAAATGGGATGAAATGAATTGAGAAGAGAGAGAGCTATCACAAGTAGTATAAAAAATAAAAAATAAAATAATATATTAGCCAAGCCTGACAGGCTCTAAGGCCGAGCTTTTGAATTGGAGCCTAAGATTTTTTTATTAAACGAGCTTTTATACAAGTCCAAGCCTGGGTCCAACAATCAATTTTAGACATGTAAGCTCAGACCTTCATGAGCCGAGTCAAAAGCCCCTGCCTCGTTTAGCACCCCAGCGAAAAGCCTATGGTGCGGCCGAAAATTTCTTTCCATTTGATGCTTTTTTTTTTGTAATTCTCAAGTCCCACAAATTTTCTCCTTTCAGTATAGATATATCATATACCTATTGCTGGAGTACCGAAAGTTTTCTCTGGCGCGGCATATTTAAGTCATGTGACGCGTAATCCAATATATTTAGTATAACTATAATATAATTAATTCATATCTGAAAAAAGAGACTATTTAATACATTTTAATAATTATAATACAAAATTTTAATTTTGTAAGTAATATTATTTAGGGATGACTAGCCACCTGTCCGACTTGTATCTAACCCATCACAAAAAAGCATATTTGTCTCTCTCACCCAAGGATGATCGAAAATAACCTACCTAATTTTATGATATTGAATTGGTAGGCCAACCTGCTTATAGTGCCAGCTAATAATTGTTGCATAGAAGGAAATATAAAGAACGAAAAACACATGTTACAATCTTTTCCTAGGCAAAACAATCTTCCCAAAAGATGTAAATGTATTAGCAGTAGTTAGCTTTCTTTTTAGCTATATCAGTTAGTTAGTTAGTTATCTTTACAGTTATTTCAGTTAATTCTGTTGTAACTTTCTTTTTCTCTTTATTGATTACTTTTATGTATAAATAGTGATCCTCATGTATCAGAATCACTCAATCAATAAGAATGTATTTCTTTCATTTTCTTTCTTATCTTCTTTCAGCTTTTATGGTATCAGAGCTTTGATAAAGCTCTGGTATTCATTGTCCATCGCTCCCGCATTACAGTAAGCTCTCTTATCAGAGCAAATGGCTCAACCAGGTGCGAGTCAAATTCCTCCTTCAGCATCCCCGTTGATGGATGTTTAGAATAATCAAAGTCCGTATTTCTTGCATCCAAATGAGAATCCCTCATTGGTGCTAGTGTCTCCAGATTTTTATGGTAAGAACTACCATACATGGACTCGTTCCATGAAGATGCCGCTGCGTTCGAAAAATAAGCTCGGATTCGTGGATGGCACCATCTCAGCTCCTCTTCAAGAATCCGATCATTTGTTCTTGGTGTGGGATCGTTGCAATACAATGGTCTTGTCATGGCTACACCATTCCATTGCAGAATCTATCATACATTCAGTGGTATGGATGGAGACTGCGTCTGATGTATGGAAAGATCTCAGAGAACGTTTCTCTCAAACAGATGTCTTCATAATTGCTGACATTCAAGAAGACATGTATCAGCTGACTCAAGGTGATAATGATGTAACTCAGTATTTTACTAAACTTAAAACTTTTTGGGATGAACTTGATTTGTTGCAGCCATTGCCAAAGTGTAAATGTACTCCGAATTGTGCTTGTGGAATAATGATGCAGGCACATGCAATAGAAAGTAGAGAAAAGGATCGTGTTATTCGATTCTTGAGAGGGTTAAATGATCAATTTGCACATGTTCGATCCCAAGTTATGTTGATGGAGCCACTTCTGAATATTAATCGTGCCTTCTCATTAGTTACTCAGCAAGAAAGGCAAATCAGAGTTGAAACAACTGTTCAAGCAAAGGCATTCTTGAATGTAAATGATCAATCACAATTTCGTGAATCACAATTTCGTGGCCAAAGCTCCTATAGAGGAAGGGGCAGATCGAATAATGGAAGAGGAAGATCCAATCCTGGGAAAGTATGCACCCACTGTGGTCGCACCAATCACACAATTGAAACATGCTTTGAGAAGCATGGTTTCCCCCAGGTTTCAAGAACAGAATGAACATCAACAGACAAGCGAATCTTGCTACTGGAGATAATGATGATCCTTTCATCTGTGTTGAAAATGTAGATGAGATAAAGAATGCAAATGTAGATCAGTTTTACCTTACAAAAGACCAATATCAAAGTTTATTGGGATTAATTCAGAATCCCAAAGAAAGTGTTGTATATTCCAATATGGTTCAAACCAATGTTGTGTCATCCAACTCAGGTAACACTAGCCTTCAATGGATACTTGATACTGGTGCTACTGACCATATCACATATTGCTTCAATTCTCTTTCTTGCCCAAGCCAAATTAATCCCATTTCCATAAAATTACCTGATGGTTCTCAAGTATTTGCCACTCACTGTGGAAATGTTTATCTGTCAGCTTCTCTTACCCTATCAAATGTATTGTATGTTTCAAAATTTCATGTGAATCTTATTTCAATTACCAAACTTATACATGATTCACATTGTCAAGTAGTTTTTCGACCTCTAACCTGTTCTATTATGCAGAACAACACAGGGAGGATGATTGGTACTGCTAACCAACAAAATGGTTTGTTCACTCTTGTAGCACAGCTTGAAAGTCCTGTTCAGAATAAAATTTTCGAGTCTAATAACAGCTGCAACAGTATTACAGCTGATTCAAGAATCTGGCATCATAGGCTGGGTCATTGTTCATCTTCAATTTTAAATTCTATGTCAAAAGTTTTTCCTTTTATTCCATGTAATGATCATATCAACATTTGTGATGTATGTCATTACTCAAAACAGAAACGTCTTTCTTTTCCATTAAGTGTATCTGAATCTTTATATTGTTTTGATCTTATACACGCAGACATATGGGGTCCTCATGCTTTAACATATATTCGTGGTTATCGATATTTTTTAACTTTGGTTGATGATCACTCACGGTTTACTTGGGTTATGCCAATGCAGACCAAAGCTGAAACAAGATCCCATCTGTACAATTTTATATCCTTTATTGAAACTCAATTTCACAAAGTTGTCAAAACTATTCGATCAGATAATGGTCCAGAATTTAACTTGAAAGAATTCTATAGTTCAAAAGGTATCACACACCAAACTTCTTGTGTAGAATGCCCACAACAAAATGGTATTGTGGAGCGCAAACATCAACACTTGTTAAACACAGCTCGTGCACTCCCTTTTCAGTCAAATCTCCCTCGAGTTTATTGGTGCTATAGTACAAGTCATGCTGCTTTCATCATAAATAGATTAATTACCCCTAATCTTAAAGGAAAATCACCATATGACTTGTTATTTGACACTTCACCATCCCTTGATCATCTCAAAGTCTTCGGTTCATTATGTTTTGCTTCCACACTCACTCACAATCGAAGCAAATTTGATACTAGAGCTAGAAAATGTGTTTTCCTTGGCTATAGACAAGGCACCAAAGGTTACATAGTACTTGATATTCATTATAACAATATATTTGTCTCACGTAATGTCATCTTTCATGAGTCTCATTTTCCTTTTCATAATATTAGTTCTCACATTCAATCAAACCCCATTTGTTCTCGTGTTCAACAATCCAATACTGAATATGATGTTCATCAATTTGGTCATATGTCTGCACCTCCCCCTACTGTATTACCTGTTTCTGTTACCCCTGCAGAAAATGATCTTATTGATCATCATTCTGTCAATCATGATAACAATGACCCATCTATTCGCTGTTCTACAAGAACTAAAGCAAGACCTCAATATCTGGCAGACTTTCACTGTGGTTTATCAAGTGTGACACATACCAATCATCCTTCAGGTACTGTTTCTTCTCCTAATTATCCACTTTCTGATTTTCTTTCATATTCAAAATGTTCTCCTTCACACCAAACCTTTTGTCACAATGTAACCATCGAAACTGAACCTACCACCTATAAGCAAGCTGCTTCTTATTCTCATTGGCAAGATGCTATGAATGCTGAAATTCAAGCGTTGGAAAGGAACAATACTTGGTCCTTAGTATCTCTTCCATCTGATAAACGCCCAATTGGTTGCAAATGGGTGTATAAAATAAAAAGGAAACCAGATGGAACCGTGGATCGTTACAAAGCACGCCTAGTTTCTAAAGGATATACTCAATGTGAGGGTGTGGATTATTTTCAAACCTTCTCCCCGGTTGCAAAGATGACAACGATGAGGGTCATGTTGGCTGTTGCAGTAGCCAAAAATTGGCACCTAGAACAACTTGATGTAGACAATGCTTTTCTACATGGAGAACTTCATGAAGAGGTATTCATGTCACTACCTCCTGGGATTTCTTTGTCTATTCCTAATGCTGCATGTAAACTTCAAAAGTCATTGTATGGTTTGAAGCAGGCAAGTCGCCAATGGAATGTCAAGCTTACTCATTCACTGGAATCTTTGGGATATATTCAATCCATTGCAGATCATTCTCTATTTGTTCGTAATACTGATAACTCCTTCACAGCTTTATTGGTGTATGTAGATGATGTTGTTTTAGCTGGCAATGATGCTAGTGAGATTCAACGAGTTAAATCAGCTCTCCATAGTCAATTTCGTATCAAAGATCTTGGTCATCTTCGATTCTTTCTGGGTTTAGAAGTGGCACGGTCCAAACACGGGTTATTACTGAACCAAAGAAAGTATACTCTTGATCTCATAACTGATGCAGGTTTATTGGCAGCCAAACCTGTAGCTACTCCTCTTAATCCTTCAATGAAACTTCAACGCATTCAAGGTGAACCTTATGATGATCCTTATGCGTATCGAAGACTCATAGGCAGGTTGCTCTACTTAACCACTACTAGACCTGATATTACACATGTTGTTCACAAGCTCAGTCAGTTTGTTTCAAATCCCATGATTGAACATTTCTCTGCTGCTCAACGTATACTGCGTTACTTAAATTCCTCACCTGGTAAAGGTTTGCTGTTTTCTGCAACAAATTCCTTGAAGGTCACTGGTTTTACTGATAGTGATTGGGCATGTTGCCCTGACACTAGGAAGTCAGTCACTGGAATATGCATATTCCTGGGGGATGCCTTGATTTCTTGGAGATATAAGAAGCAAAACACAGTTTCCAAATCCTCTTCGGAAGCTGAATATCGTGCGCTTGCTAGTGCTACATGTGAGGTGCAGTGGTTAGCTTATTTGTTCAAGGATCTGCATTTGCCATTTCTTCAACCAATCCCTCTTTAATGTGACAATAGAGCAGCTATCTACCTTGCTCACAACCCCAGTTTTCATGAACGCAGCAAACACATAGAGATTGACTGCCATATTACACGCGAAAAGCTTAACTCGGGTCTCATTTCGCTTCTTCCCATTTCAACACATCATCAACTAGCTGATATTTTCACGAAATCACTATATCCTGCTCCTTTTCGAGAACTTATTTCCAAGTTGGGATTGTGTGGTATTTATCTCCCAACTTGAGGGGGGCTATTAGCAGTAGTTATTTTAATTAGCAGTAGTTAGCTTTCTTTTTAGCTATATCAGTTAGTTAGTTAGTTATCTTTATAGTTATTTCAGTTAATTCTGTTGTAACTTTCTTTTTCTCTTTCTTGATTACTTTCATGTATAAATAGTGATCCTCATGTATCAGAATCACTCAATCAATAAGAATGTATTTCTTTCATTTTCTTTCTTATCTTCTTTCAGCTTTTAAAATGCATCAAATATTAAATGAAAACTTCAAAAAAAAGTGATGAATGTACTTTATCATGAGCAAATTTCCCAGGTATAATGAAGTTAAACAACATATTTTTGTGTTAGAATGCCCGCAGCAAGAACATATCACAAAGGTAAGTAACAAATAGAACGGAGAAAAAAATAAGAATAAAAGGATGTACAATTTAAACTCAATAAGAAGTCAAAATTTTAACCTTTTACGTGAACGTGAAAGAAAATATAATTGTTAAATCTATTGTATGTATGACAAAAAATTTAAATTTTCAAAACTTTTTAACTGGTTTTTTTTTCTACACAAGAAATTCAAAAATATAAGGTAAGAAAATTTAAAATTGAAAACTCCTCACCAATTAATTATTTCGTTTGTTCATTTCTCTAACTTTTTTTTTTTTTTTTTACATTTAAATTACACCATGATCTCTTGATAGGAAAACTAACAAACACCATGACATTTTGGATTGTTTATTTATTTATTTATACCATGCCATTTGGGTTATCCAATTTACGTGGCACACGAGGAGTGGAAGCATGCAATAATTCTTGTATGGCTTTTGCCGTAGAGAGCTGACACGAGTAACCAACCAATGGCAAGGTGCCTTTTCACTGCAACGTGGCACTACTACGTTCTGGTGTGTGTTTTATATGGCAGACACGTACGTTAGAGACATGATTGTAACTAGCAAATTAAATTCCCTTTCAAAATTGCTCTTTACTTAACAACGATTCAAAACACGCGTATGTCAACTTCAAGAGCAAGCACAAAATTAAGCAAAAGCACGTAAACGCGAAATACATAGAGAAGAAACATGTCAGCGTCAGCGCCGGTGGATCCGCATGACAAGATGAGGGCTAGGGACGTGAGCAAAGTGGCGCGGGGAGAGCAAGCCCCAAGGCCAGTTCATGAATACGGCATCGTTTCTCCACCCCCTCCTCCCTCTTCAACCGACAACATTGATACCAATAACAACAAGGTAACCTATACATATCTTCTTATTTTATATAAAACTTGTTCAACCTAACAGGTCGGGCTCAAATTTGAACGGGGCCAAAAAATTATATGTATATTATTTTTTCTTAATCTTAGTTAGTTTAAATCTAATATATTTAAACTAGGAAAAGATTCGTTTACAAATTTTTGTAAATTATACTATATACTCCCAGAAATATATAGTTTAACCTAGTGATATACGTGTAGTTTGTAAGAGTTTGTAAATAAAAAATTTGTAAATATAACCCTACTCATTTAAGTTATATTAAATACGGAGCACCTGAGCAAGCAGTACCAAGAAGAATTATAATTTTATTAAATATTTTTTAATTTTACTAAAAATATTTTTTTTATACAAGTGAGAATTGAACATATAACTAAATATAACTTACCCAAATCTCTTACTAAAAATATTTTATCTTTTAGATAAGGTCAAATTACAAATTGTAGCTCAGGCCAAATTATAATTTTAACACGGGTCAAATTATAATTAATTATATAATTATATATAATAAGTATAATTGTTTAAAATTTAGCCCGGACTAAGCCACACCCAGCATACATGTGGCAACTCCACTAGTAACAGGTAGTAACAGGAGACTCTGGCCCAGCCTATAGCCCATCTGTATTAGACACTTCTTGTGAGGGAAATAATGGATATCAAAATTTTTGTGTATAAATACTTCCTTGTTTAGAAGTGTTTTTCTTTATTATTATCTTCTTCTTTTTTCAAATAAGATAAAAAAAAAATGTTTTGAGCTCTAAAATACTATAACTAATTGACCACTTTTTTTAGGAAAAAAATAAAAAGTTAGGGGCAGCTGAAAACGGTGCCGAAATACCACCCACTAATTACCAAATGCGCCGTTGTTATGTAAAATACGTGGAGTACCATAGGTAAGTTATGATGCTTCTCTCTCGCTCGACATATTGATTCATGAACAAGTTGTCCTCCATTTCCAATACCTAATTCAGTAGCTCGTGTGGTGTAATCAGATGCATTAAGCAGAGGGGCGAAACGGCACCCGAATGCGAGAAGCTGGGCACGGAATTTAGGTCCTTGTGTCCAACCGAATGGGTGAGTACTGAGCAACAAATCAGAAATCAAAACCTCTCTCTTCTCAATTTTTAGACTTTTTGTTCCTTTTGTCCCTCATAATTAATAATTATTTTATCTCTGATTCAAAACTATCTGCCAACATTAATCGATTAACTTGAATATTTAATCGATTAAATGGTTGACTCGAGATTTAATAGACTTTTTTAATCGACTTTTTTAATCGATTAAAAAATTATATTGACTTATTTTCCTTTGTTACCTGGGAGATTTAATCGATTAAATAGGGAGATTTAATCAATTAAATCTCGAGTCAACTATTTTTGCCTGTTTTAACCATTTAATCGATTAAATATTCAAATTAATCGATTAAAGAGGGACAGATTGGTAAATAGTTTTGAATTAGAGGCAAAATAATTATTAATTAATTAACGAGAGACAAAAGTGTGAAAAAGCTCAATTTTTAAATTAATAAATTAATTCGTTGGATCGTTGTGGTGTGACATCTAGTAGGAACACGTATTTTAGGACCTGGCCAGTTAATTCTGAATTTTTTTATGTTTTTTTCTTCTTCTGTATTTTGCAGATTGAAGAATGGGACAAAGAGAGAGAAGAGGGGAAGTTCCCTGGAGAAATATAAGCAGGAAATATACTTTTTAACAGGAAAACATCGCGTACTCACAAATAAGTGAAATAACTTAGCATCTTGGATATATAATGTGATTTTCCCGCTTCTTTGTTTCAAATAAAATGTCAGATTTAGTGATGCATCGAACTCGTTGAATATAAAGTGTGAAACTATGCATGACATGTGATTTGCAGATTTGGAACAGATATTACAATAAATTTTATGTTATTTTATTCAAAATTTCCATGCATCGGTAATTAAAATAAAAATAAAAATTGTCTTGTGGTATTGTGACATTTGTTCTCTCTGTGTTTTCCCTTCAATATTACATGAAGGTAAATCTTTGACCGATTCAATCCCATAACCAAAATCAGCAAGGAAGAGCTATGATATAAGCTTGGGAATCCTCTGCCACCATTATCCGAAACCCCATTAAATATATTTTCGAAAATCAGAAGGTTAATAATCAGATGAAAAAAATAAGAAAACTACAAATAATAAAATAAACGGCTATGATTAGAGGATAAAATAATAAATCACGAATAATTAAAATTATCTATGATGTTTAAATAAGACACGAGAAATCCTCTCACTCTCTGCAGATAAAATACTACCATCGACCGTCAAGATTCATAATTACTTGGAATTACAATTTATATTATATAAGATAAAATAGGATTTCTTTAATAAAGATAATAATTTTTTTGGGCCGGCTTATTAACTGATACCAATCCCCCTCGTTTATTTCATTTTTTTTCTATTATTTATTTTTCTCTCTTCATTTTTATTCTCTATTTTTTTATTTTTTTATTTTTTTTGGGTACACAATCTATTTTATTTTTAATTTAGTATTGTTATTGTATTTACTTTTTGTTTATTTAATTTTTCTTAATCTTTTTTTTTATTTTAATTCATGGATTATATATAGATCCCAACTAATTTCGAAAAAACATATTGTTAATATTAATATTCATCGCATAAGACAAATAGAAAAAGTAGATTGATCTCCCTTCAAAACTTGTCACTTAATGTAAATAAAAGAACTCGACAATCAGGTGGATTAAAATAAAATTAGCTGGATACCAACAAAAAAAATTAGCTAAGGGGTACGATGTCCTTGTAAATGAGACAAAGTGGGTGATGCTCTCCCGCATAAGAGACACTACACGATGCACGAGCATAGCGTTTATGAGAGGAACAAAACTAAATTGATTGATTAGATTAATTGGTCAACGTGCAACTTATAAAATACAAGGCAAGTGAATCAATTTAGTGAGCGCTTTTTTTAGCTTCTGTTCTCTTTATAAATAAAATTTATGTTAAATTAAGATTTTACAAAAGCTCTTAAAAAAAGTTTTTCTTTTATAATAAAATAATAATAATCCAAAAATTCATAGGAGAATTTTTTTTAAGTTATATCACTTTTTTTTAAAAATAAATAGCTTTAGTTAAAAAAAAATATGTTTAGTTAAAAAAATATAATCACTTTTTTTTTACTTTAACTTAAAAGTATGTTTTAGTTAAAAAAAATTATCAAATAAACTCTTAGTTTTTCTACAAATTATATATTTAATTTTATTTTTTTATTAAATATGTATTATGGGATAGATTATTCTACCTATCTTTGTCTACTACTCTTCAACACCATTAAATCAAAATTTCAATTATCTTTATTATTTCTCTTTCCAATTTAGATCCTGATCTAAGAGAGTGGTACACACAAGTTTTGTTAGTAGAGGTAAAACTCACTTCGATGATCTTTTCGGCTGTCAGACACCTTGAAGATATTGATACACAATGAAAATGGTTGTGTTACAAATAGTACCTTTTAACATAGTTTATAAGAAAATATTTCAAAGATTAGTGTAGTATATTTGGTTATGCCTAGAAGGAGATAATATTGTTGTTTGATACATGTAAAATCGAAATTATTCTTAGTAAGAGAGACATTTTTAATTATATTTATTGCAGAATTAGTACTTCATTGAGTGCTATTTTTGCATAAGCCGTGTTTCACGGTGTTTATGAAATGGATGCATTGCTATAACACTATTTTTTTTCCCGCACAATCATGTTTTTTATTTGACACTTTTATGGGATAGGATATTGTGACACACAAATAATGTTACGTACAATGTTACGACCACATCTTAACCGTTGATTTCCGTCAATCAACGGTTATCATTTATTGCGAATTAATAATTAATTAATGAGTTTGATTTGAAAAATGATAACTGTTGATTGGCGGAAATCAACGGTTAAGATGTGGTCGTAACATTGTGCGTAACATTATTTGTGTGTCACAATATCCTATCCCCACTTTTATTTATAAATTGGTTATCATTCATTTATAACAGAAGAAAAGATCAAAAATGCATTGTGTAATGGGTTTTTGTAACTTTTGCAAGTATAAGTTAGGTATCTTTCTGATTACCTTTGATGTCAAGCCCAACATTTATTTAATTTTTTTTTGCACATTTTGCGTGATTATCTTAAGGGTAATACTTTTCTTATGTTGCATAAGAGAAATATTATTTTCTACCCAAACAATAAATATGAGAGACAGAAAAGTTTGAGGTGAGAGAAAAAAATTCTTGTGGGATCCATTTAAAAAATATGAGTGTAAAAGATAATATATCTTTTATGTAACATAAGAAAAACAATTCCCTTATCTTAATTATGCTTAGAGTCTATTAAAGATATCAAATATTAAGTTGCAAATCATTTATCTATTTTATAATTTCGTTAAGACTTTGATAATTGCTCTCTTCTATTTTATCATCGTTGTGTTGGTAATACCTGTTTTGTTAGTTGAATATGTGAAAGTATAGATATATCAATTTAAAGTATTGCTCAGTATCATTATTTAATTTGAGACTAAAGAAAGATATTTAATTTGCTTTTTGTTCCTACATGATGCAACTACGTGTTTATGTCATACAAAATATTATTCATAAATTTTGGTTAAATTTTTTTGTTAACTTTTATTAGAAAAATAAAATGATTTATTTTCGATGCATCCACGAGTAATACACTAATAAATTATATATTATGACATCTTAAGAATTACTATTATTTATTATCTAAATTTTAATGCCAAATTAAAAATTATATAATTATACTCAGCACGTGATAAGTGTAGGGTGTGCGAAAAGCTCACGTGACCAAGGAGCGCGTATATTCCATGTGCTCATTGAATACGTTTGTAGAGAAGCGCGTATACGTGCATCCCCCATTTCCACTATGCCTATGTTTCTGTGTCTCATTCTCATCTAATGTGTGAGTGTTCTCTATCCGTTCTTGAGCTCTAATTTTCTCTTCATTTCTCACACCCAACCCTAACCCTAACCCTAATCAAAATTCTTAATCCTCTACTCACGTCCAAACAAAGCACTCTCTTTTAAAACCCTGACTCGAACCATTCAATCAACTCTCAGAAGATCGTCGCTTCTTGATTCTGAAAACCCTCACGAGCGATGGACTCACAACAGAGCAATCTATTCGATACGGCTTCGCAACCCGACACAGGGAACGACGCCTACACTTTCTTGGAATTCAACACTCAGGGCGAGGATTTCGACTACCCCGAGTTCCGCGACCCGATTAGGTCGTCGGTGGCGTGGCCCACGCCCTCTGATTCGCTGGCGGACCCGTCGGAGCGCGGCGGTGGAGGCGGAGCAGGGTCCGATCACCAGTCAGATGCCTCGCCTGTTTCGGCGCCTCCGGGAAGCGCCACGAAAGGCCGGTCGGGAAACAGCAGCGGGAATAGCCAGATGGTGGATGCACTGGCGGCTGGGATGAGCGGGTTGAATTTCGAGGACACCGGGGATGATGATAATTATGAGTTTGGTAAAGGAGATTTCACTGAACATGCTTGCCGTTATTGCGGGGTCTCCAATCCAGCGTGTGTTGTGAGGTGCAATGTACCGTCCTGTCGCAAATGGTTCTGTAATTCGCGGGGGAACACCTCGGGATCGCATATCGTCAATCACCTGGTGAGTTGTTATCACCGCGTTTGCTGTTTTTTTAACGGTTGTTTGGTTTTGGATTTTCTTGTTCCTTGTATTTGGGTTAGTGGTATGAACTGTGGTCATGACATACTTGTAAGTTTAGAAACTTCGATAAGCTGATGATAGTTGGAAAGTTCATGGTTTAGAAGTCAGAAATGTAGTTCTTTTTATGCATACGTTCAAATTACTGGTGAAAAGTGAAAATCAGTTAGAATTGTAGATATTTGTGGACTACCTGTAGTTATTTTGAAAGCAGCTGGAAGTTTTTTTTCCCTTTTCCCTTTAACCTCACAAAATTGTGTGAAAGTTGCTGACGTGGAGCTTCCTTTGCAATGATAGGAAGATAATGTTCATAGTGTCATACTTAGTTTATTTGTTTTGATTATTAGAACCACCTTATATCCATTTTTGTACTTGGATGTAGCAAAGTTTCTCATTATATTAGACTCAGTTCTCCCAAGCGTAGTTGTCACATTTAGATATATATCATGTCTCTGGAATCAGAAGGCTGATTTTTATTTTTATTTTGAATCATGAATCCTATCTATTCATAAGATATGATAACAAATTGGTAAATAGTTTATAAAACATAAAAGACATATACACCTATAAAAGAAAGATTGTATTTCAAATAGTTGATTTAACAATGTTAATATTGCATATGAGAACCAGTAAGTTAATATGTAACAGGCTACAGATTCAATAGGAGATATAGCTGGGCAGTTGGTATTGTAATGTTTTTCTTGTTTTTCAACCACGCAGTCTTATTTGACGTATATAGGAGATATCTTGTTCTAGCACTTAGTTTTCTGATTTGACTTTTAGTAACCGTTTTTTATTTAAAGAAAAAAATCCCAAAAATTTGGGTAAAAAAGGTATTTTTGCATCTGTCTTGGACAGATCCAACTAGATCTGGTGCAACCCAAGAGCAAATAACCACTAAAACAGGTATTTTCTGAATTGCCTGTGTTGTTCTAGTCACCCAGATGCTCCTTTTTAGCA